TTGAGGAAATGAGTTTTATTTTCATTCAAAAACCCCCAGAACACGTTTTGTAATGGTGTTTTATTGAAGACAACTTCTCAGACCCTTCAACTGCCAGGTAGCGTGGTCAATGACTAAACCACCAGAATATCTGTAGGGTTCAGTATCTCAAACTAGGGAAATCATCTCCATTCCTGAAAGCCTGAAGAACAGTAGATCTGCAGGAGATCAGAGGCCATTCTGGAGCTCATTTACAGTCTCTTTTCACCCCGAGACCACAATTCAACAGCAGACAGTTTGCTGACTGTTGAACCACCAGCTGGGTGGAACACCCCGATCATACATGGTGTTAGAAAAACACCACAGCAAACTTCTGCAAACTTGCCTCCAAATGCCTTTCAGATGGTCAGTTATGAAAGAGGATTCACTTCCACTATTCTCTGATGTTCAAGCTTTATTTTTAGTCAGCCACTCCTCCCTGCTGAATTCAACAATCCTTAAGCATCAGTTACTAAACCTAATGTCCACACTACTTTGCCAAGTAAAACTACTTCAAATGTAGTTTTCTTAGTTTCTGAGTTACACACAGAATCAGTATTCTCAGGTTTCATCGTGATGTAAATGGAATTAGATACATCGTGGTGAGATAGGCAGGAGTCAATAGTTCCCATTCTGGGAATTTTATACTGTCTGAACAGCTACTAGTTAATACAAGAAGGTTCAGAACGATGAAGATTATGTTATTCTGGGCAAGTCAGAACATGAAAAAAAGATAGACAAGCATTTCAAGTTGTGTTACCCCTCCACGTGATGAGCTACTAGTAAGCTCATAATCACAAAGCCCTTGACAGCACTTTCTATTTAAGGTTCTCCTTTTTCCATTTTTGCATCTATTGTCTCAACAGGCAAATTCTCGTGAGGACACGTTTTGCAGCCAAATTTCAATATACATCCATAGCAGAACAGCCCTGTGATTACTATAGTTACACTCAGTAGCTATTAACACAACAAACAGGTGGCATCCTGCTTTATTATTTATATACTAGACTTATTAGTGCCCATCACTGGCTTGTCCAGACTTGGAAAGGTTTACTCTCAAGCATCTGGGTACAAAGAGCCACCCACAGAGCTGGCACCTTTTTCCATGGAATAGTACATAGGCAAATCACAATCAGTATTTACTGATGTTAAAGACTCTATACGTTCTCAGGTAAGGAAGCAAGCAGAAAGAAAACTTGAATTATTTATAAGTAAAGGGCATGAAGATATAGGTCATAGAATCTAACAGTTCTCATCAATAACCCTTATGGATAATTATGAAAAGCAAATTCCCCTGCACTTGATGAGATACTCTGCAGAATTCAGCCCCATAATGAACAGTTATCACCACTATTCCTTCAGCTGTAGTGAAGCACAGCATGCTTCACTCACCACAAGTGACCAGGAGTACACATACTTTAAAGTGAACAATACTACAGCCGTTTCAGGGCCAGATTACCTATTTTTGTAAACGTGTCACCAGCTTCATTCTTGGATGCATACAATCAAGTTCCACGGAGGGGTTAATCAATTCCCCAGCCTTTCTGCCAAGATACTAGTGTTTGATTGTGTGAGAATTATACATTTCCTAACTACATGTAGTCCCAAAAATACTTCTAGGTTTCTTACACAGATATTATGTGTTAACTTAACCAACCTTATCCTCAGTACACAAGAATTTTGAACAACTACTAAAGACTTAAGTTCTCTTCACCACCTTTTCAGGTACTCTGCTGCACAGAATCTGAGATGCAAACCACGTAGTGCTGAAGGGACAGGATTAGTGTCTATGTCCAAATGTCCAAGACACTCCCCTTCTACTCACCCACACTTAAATCACACTTACAGTTCCACTGCACCTTGGAGCAGCCAACAGTAAATGTCACAGTTTCAAATATGGGAGTGAACACAAAATAACCACTAGGTCATTCTCATTTATGACAGATTTACAGATAAACAGTTGCAGGCCTCAGCTCAAAATACTCAAGTAGCCTGTAGCAACTAAACAGCACCATGTTTTTGCTGACATCACGTGTATTCACCAGTAAGTCACAACCACTAGGCCCGCGAGCTGCCTCACAGACACAACGCCGCTAAGTTAGCAGGCAGTGCGTAATTTTATTTTTCAGCTTTTAAGGAAAAGCTGGGTAAGTGATGTAGGCCTAGCAAGCATGTGTTGCACATTCTTGTATCCATTTATTTCCATCAATTCTCTCCTTACAGATGAAATAACCATTTCTTGCTCTGCAGATGAAGGGAACACACTGCATGTCAAGTCTTCACAGCGTACATAAGGATGCCTTGGATCGCTGTCAGACACAGGAAACTTTTTTAAAGCCGGCTTATCACTATTCTTGGCATTTTTATGCCTAATTTCTTGTCTGAACAGAAGATAACAATGTAAATGTTTTATTGTAATTGAAATAAGACAGCGTCTAATGGAAACAACTGGAGCAGAAAAACATGGCAAACAATTTTTTTAGAGCATTCAAAAGACTGCCTTCTCTTCTAACTGTGTATGGCAAGGGTTAAACACCTGGTATCTTGCTAAAACCAACCAAACCAACCTCAAATAAACAAAACCCAAACAACCTACAAACAAACCAAACCAAAGACGAAAAAGCTACAAACAAACCAAACCAAACACAAACAAACCACCCCCTGCAGCAAAATCCTCCTCACAGGAGCAATGATGCTGAACACTTTCTGCCTAGAGCACAAGTTTACTTTAGCACAAACACTTCAACTGATCGTTTCCCATAAGGCTCCCTAATGCTGTTGGCTCAGTGGCTTACAACAGAAACCAATCCAGAACAGAGAGCAAAACACCAGTTTACTTCTGGGGAAAACTAGTCAACATCCCTTTTCTCCTTCAACTGCAACCAAGTCCTCCTGCTGAGCATGTAAAACACACCACACTTACTGACACAGACACTGAAAGACCACCCTCCTGCCTCAAATTAAGCTATCCAGCATTCCAAGTTCCCTTCCAATACCTACTCGTGTCCACTAGACATCTCCCCTGACGACATCTCTCTCAAAGAGGCCCTCATACTCAGATTAACCATGCAAGGCAACAACAGCACTTCTAATAGTAATACACTAAGACTTTTGTTGTCGTATATTCAACACAACCCAGGAGACACGTGGTGGGCCACCACCACCCTGTCTTTTCCTTAGAAAAGGGCAGGGTGTCTTAGAGAGTTGAAATTCCTGAAAGTACACCTGTTAATTATTTTTTCTAACCCTAAAGAGAAGTTATTTTGTCTCGTGACACATACCAGCATGAGTCTCAGAAAAACTTTCTGAAATTACTGGGATGGAATTGAGGGGAGGAAAGGAGATGCAGGTGGGAGCGGGCAGATAAAAAGACACCAGCTCACCCTCCTGATTTGCAATAGTCCAACTTTTCCAGCTTACTCCATTACCACAGTAAATAAACACAACAACTGGGAGAAAAAATTGAGTTTCTAAACTTCCATTTTTATTCCTGAATTTCCACAATCAGCCTGTTTTCACCAGAGCAGTACAACCAGTTCAGAAGGGGTCTGAACATAATGCCTTGTATGTTCTTCAAAAATCTACTGACATCCAACTGCATAAAGTTATGTTGTCTAAAACAATCAGCATGCTTTTTAAAAAACCATTTATTTCAGCTGATAGATGCTGTCCACGAGTATATACCCTTTTTTAACCCTATGCAGAAACCAACCTTAGCAAAACTCCTAATCCAAGGATATGGAGTTTCCAAGTGTTGGCATGAGTTAGTCCCCTACACAACGCAGCACGTAAAAACTTGTCCTCAGTTAAACTTTTGAAACTTGTGTGCAGATTTAGTGTCAGGAATCTCCAGGAAAAGGTGACCTGACAAACAAACGGGAGACAGGCAAACTAATTTCTGTTTCAGCACTGTACACACCCACTTTACCATCAACTCTGTATTCCCTTTCAACCTTTAAGGCATCACTGATATTTTTTTCCTACTGCCCAGCATAAATGCAGTGCTCCAAGTCAAAATTCAATACATCCATTCCTAGCACAGAATTACACAAAACATTCAGATATCCCAGTAAAGTCACTCTGCAAGTCCCATGCTGCTCAGTGTTTTCTGAAAGCAGAAAGCAGCATGAGACACTAGATACGCTGAAACACGTTTCACTGAAAACGAAACGATTGTGGTATTGTTTCAACAACGATCACTAATATTCCGAAAGGAAAATTTCCAGAAGCTATCCCTCTTCTCAATCAATTTGTAAATTGTGAAAGATACACACAATAACCTAATTTAATGTGGTACGGCATTTGAAGACAGAAAATTGGGACAGAAGACAAGTGGTACTACTCATCTCGTTTTCTTTCGCTCCCCCAGAAGATGGAGGGTGTTGAAAATGTAGTGAAGGGGACAAGTTAAAGGAAGGCAATTTCCCAAACAAAAGGAAAAGTAAAAGGCTGACTTTGATAAATGTTTTCTCATACAGATTCTATTTCAGAGACATAAATCATAGGAAAGAAGTTCAGATAAATTTTGTTTTCTTACCAATTTCTATGTAATGAAACTGTTATTTCGTATTCCTTGGAGTAACACGAGCTTATAGATTCATAAATGCAGAACTGACAAAAAGCACGGGCACTTTCCTCTCATCCCCACAAATGTTATCTCCACCTCTGCACTGCCTTTGCACATAAGGTCTTCCTAAGAGCTGGCAGAGGAGCAAGTGTCTGAGAACTTCCACAGCAACCAATGTAACAGAATGTGAGCATTTCCTCCCTACATCACCAGCCTGAATGCAAGGGTCTTTAAAAAGGGTGAAAAAACACTTTGACGTGTCTGTACAAAATTCCAGAAGGACTCAATTAAAAATTAGAATTTGACAAATAAGCTATTTCCAGATTCTTGTTATAAAGTTGGTCTCCCTTTCTTATACACACTTGATGCTTCTGATTTTATGTGTTTATTTCAGACAGGGAAGGTGAAAGACTCCTTACCGCCGAGCAATGTAGTAGAAAACAGGATTGCCAGCTTTTGACGTCCCGGCTTGGTAGAAAATATTTAGTGTTTTCAGTGCTTTGAACTCCTCTTTTTCATGTACCTGATGCCTAAAAAGCAGTACATAGACATCAAGTTTTCACAACTGCCTTTAAAAAAAAAATAATCCACAAACCTGTTTATTTGCACCTTTAAACAAAAGTATTAAGTTCACACAATCTTGAACCTCTGTTACATCACAAACATCACTGCTGTCTCTGGTTCTCAATTTAATTTTTGAAATTAAAATCTACTGAGAAACTGAAAAGGTTTTTCAACTTTTTTAAAACTCCATTTCAAAATGAAAGCTGAAGCCACAATAACTACTTATAATGCCTGACGTGCTACAGTCCAGAAAACCACAGTGTGTCCCCCCGTGTGATAAAATCATTACCTTGTCATAAACTCTTCAAATTTGGAACTAGTGAGATTTAAACTGGACCAATGGGTATCTGCCACGGGTTTGTGCTCAGGAGGACCCAGATAGGCAAGAAGAGTAGCCATCTTGTCAAAAGGTCGTCTTCCAACAGCCTTGTGGTCCCTAGAAACAGCACATTACTTAAAAGAAAAAGGCCTTTACTCAGCAATTCCAGTATTTTTGCCCTCTACCCTTCCTTACCCTGAACAGGCTGGATTTCCTTTTTTTAAATTGAAGAAAAAAAAGAGTATTCAACAAAGAAATAAGAAAAATGTTTGCTACACAAAGAATAATTATTACAAAAGCAGAGACAACTACACTTGCACAAAAGGTTGGCAGTGAAGTGGGCAGCAAAGATGCTGGACATGTTCCCACTAACGGCTTGTCGACAAGACACAAGTTCCCAAAAGTTAAGATTTCTCAGCCGTGATATTCTCAGCAACAACAACAAAAGCATCTGAAAGAATTTCCAAATATTCATTTCCCACCCTCTCTGTAATTCTTCTGAAGCCTTACCTGTTGCTGGAAAGGTACTGGCCAATTTTCTCCTGATTGTTCCACAGCAAGCGGTGCAAAGCGAGGACGTTGCCGTCGCTGATGAAAGACAGGCTGTGGTTGACAGTGTCGCTAGCTGGGCAATCAGATGCAATGTCAAGGAAAAACCTGCAGTTCAAAACCAGTAATAACTGTAAGCGTACAAGGGAAATATGGCGAGCAGACTCTGCAAATTAAAAGCCTGGAAGCACACACTCTGCTCACTCTTTACATGCCACAGACTCTCTGGAAGTTTCAACGGGCCTACCTTCGTGCTGCATCAAAATTGCTTTTTACAAAATCATTAAAAGGCCGCATATGTTCTTCTTTTGTAAACAGGACATGGTTGGCAATACTCTGAAGTATCTAAATCATAAAAAGATGGTAAAGACACATTAAGGTTTAATGTATTAACTGTTACGGTACTCAGCGTAGCTTCACTGCCAGAAATACTAATTTTTACTTGTTGTGAAACCTCAAGACAAAACAAGGCCAACAAGCCAACTAATTCAAAATACGTTCAGTTTCAAACTATCTTCCTTCACACACTTTTAAATCCTAAAAAAACACTTCACCTATTTATGAACTTTATTTGGGTTTCGACCCCAAAATAAATCCTCTTTCAAAACCACTATGTATTAAAATGTTAGCTATTTCTTCTGAAAGTTACGCAGACCTGTAGAAGCAATAGCATGTGCCCTTTTGAAGAAAACTGTAACCCCACAGCATTTAAAATGGATAATATGCACAGGCCACAGGATTTGTACGCCCTCGTCAGATTGCTTTTCATTCTGATTTTACAGGAAATGATACCGAATGAGATTAAAGACAGGAAAAATCATTTCTTTAGCGCTAGTACGAACTCAGTATCTGGCTGCCATTGTTGTCCCTGTGCTCAAAGTCACATGGCCTCTTGGCTTTCGAATAAGGTTAGAAGTTCAAGGGAAGAGCCAGGAGACATCCTGTTACCTTACATCCCATGCTGGCAAAGTGGTTTCCCCCTCCCCGATACAGACTGTTCCTGGTACTTACACTGCTGTGAGCTGTAACATCAATGTCATGATGTACGAACACAGTATGGGAACTGCACTTTAAACAAACATGATGGTTGTTCCTTTACCTAAATTTTCTCCCACTGGTCAAGCAAAGAACAGAACCGAATCAGGTAGAATGTACAGTATGGCCAAACAAGAATATTGACTGATTCACCTTTGACATCAGTTTCAATCCCCTTTCAATTCTTGGTGGAGGCTTTTTATCTAAAATCCCTGCCTCATAAGGGGAGACGATGGCAGGGTTGATGAACCGAAGGAACATCGCGCTTCCAACCGCTCCAATGCTGTTCTGAGGAAATCGCTGACTAACCACCTATGAAGTTGAGAATTATAAAGAACATTTTTGCATTACAGAGAAAGCAAGCTGAGAAAAGCCCTGCATGGTAATCCAAGCATTCCTTCCATACCAATCACGCTCAGTGCACACAGGAGTAGGACTCTTGCCCGGACAGGTCTTGTGTCACAGGACAATCAGGAACGAGAGGGAAGCAAGAGTAAGGGGCGAGTGGGCTATCAGACACTGCCGAGTTCCGCTCTCGTACCACCCTTCTTGCTAGGGTGAAATTGCTACCAGAGCTGTCGGACAGCTCTGAGAAGGTGCCTTTCAGAGGCGCCAACCACTCCATTCCAGGAGCCTGCAGCTGGCGGGGACGCAGACAAGTGCCACCTGCTCAGGTGCGCACAGCCCTCCCGCCAAATACAGCACGTCTTTATAAACGAGTGGGTCCCTGATTTGCTATTTATAATTCCACTACTGATCACAAGAGCCTCTCTAGCTATAAGATTCATGCTGTAAAGTTCAGGAGTAATTTTAAATTTGTGGGAAGGAGATATTTGTAGAAATACTCTTCAGAACCTTCACATCCCAACAGATCTGCAGAGGAGGAAAGACAGAATGAACCGACCAGAGTGGCCAGTGTACTTCCCTGCCCATGCATACACTGGCCAGACTCAAAATATTGTTCTCTGCTATCTAGAAAAAAAAAGCATTTTTCTGAAAATGTTGAAAGAAAAAAGAAATCTCCTGTCTTTTTAGGAAATCAACTATGCATTACTTCTAAGAGGGTAGTTTATTCTCCAGATAGCTTTCATTTGACTTTGAAAAGTTAAAGGTCCCTGACAAAAATAAGGTTGTTAAAAATACTCCACGTGCTTCTATAGAGATTCAATATCTGTGTTTTTTCTTATGGGTAACAATGGTTAATCAAATCAAGTCAGATTCTACCTTTTCATGGAACAAAATTAGCAAGCATTGTATCTTGTTATATTGTTTAAAATAAATAAACCTCAAACGAATCCCATTTTACCAAAATACTTCAAAACATAAAACAGTAGTGCAATCTGAAATCACGCTTAAAACGGATAAAGCCATCAGTACATCCATAACATATCAAGAATCTCCCTGGTTCAGTAGCAACTTCATTCAGTTACCTTGTGATGGAATTACTGAGAGTACTTTCTTGTAAAATACTACTCTGCACACAGATTTTGCATTTAAACATGATTACAATTCTGCTTAGTTACAGCAAAAAATAAGGGAATATTTAATAGAAGTCTAGATTTCCATTCTGCCTCTTTTATTCATACTTAATATTTTGAGGTCACTGTCAAATAAAAGGCTAATTCTTAACTTTTAATTACATCACTCTCTCCCAAGATGTATGTCTCAACTCTTTAACACAGAAAGTTACTTCAAATGAGAAATTTGCTTCTGTCAGCAAATCAATACAAGTGCTAAATTTTAATGCTTTCTTACAGGCAAACGAAAGAAATTATATCAGAACCAAGTCACAAAGCCTCTTTTCAGTAACACATGTATACTAACTGTGCTTCTCCCAGGATACAAGCTGAAGTCAAGTTATCAACCAAAGTGTTAAAACAACTAAACAGACTCAATTTTCCCCCAAACTGAAGAAAACATTTTTCTTCCACATTTTTTTAATTCGAAGATGGTGGCAAGGGTAGAAGAATCAGAATATTAAATACTAAGCAGTAATGTTAAAAATGGGGTTTGTTTACTCAAATAGGCACACAGAGAATATTTTAAATATAACTTAATTCCAGTGTTAATTGAAAATGAAAGCTATTTTGTGCCAGAATTAGTAGAATGATTTTACAGTGAGGTCAAATAGACTGAAGTGAAGATGTTTTGAACAAACAGCAAAAGATTTCCGTTGTGCTTTGAAAGAAATGGCTAATAAAAAGGTCTCCAAACTTACTGATTTTTTGTTTTCCTTTTTTTCTTTTACGGTAGCTTTATTCAGTAGAGAGTGGCAAGTTGCCTACAGAACAGAGATGAGCACAAACAAGTCACAGCACCAACTACATACAGCAACAAAAAACCAATGTTGACTTGTACATAAATTACACAGTAAAATGTAACAAACATAACCAACAGAAAATGAAATATATAAACTAAAGACTGATGATGGAGTTTTTATTCCATAATTTCATTACATCTTATTTACAAAGCACTAAATACAGAACAAGAAAATGTTGCGTTTCAATCATTTCTACTATTTCTGGCTAGATTAAAAGTCAAACCACATGAATGTGCTCATGATACACAATCTTGGGCATCAAATGGTATATTCAGCTTTGAAATGTATTTCACCATCCCCAAATAATTTTAATAGTAAAAATAGTAAAGTGTTATACCTTTGAAATACATATTACTTTAAAAATAAATTTAGAGTTTTAAATCTTCCCAATGTTTCTCTGTGTGTCCTTCAATTTAGTTAGATCTGTCAATCATCATGGTTACTACTACTTTAATAGCTAAATACTGTCATGAAATACTCTGTGGAAAGAGGAAGAAAAAAGCCAGTAGGTCCACATCAATTTATCACAGATCTCCAAATCAAGATACATGATTTGACTGTGCTTTGATTTGATTGCTGCACTTCAGTTAAATGCAAAGGGACCCAGCAAGAAGCATCACATTGTCTCGTATATCCCACCAGGATCTGAGCAAAGCTGCAGTACATCAGCCTTGCGCTCGGCTCCCCTGTGCAGAGGGAAACTTTGCTCTGGGAGCCCATCCCTACGCCCTTCGCTTTAGCCGTAGCGGTAAAGCAGCACTGAGAAGCCCTCCAGCAAGCAACACCTGGAGCTGTATGGATAGAAAGCGGGCAGTAGTCGGCAGTTTGAGGGCAAGCACCCATCGACCGGACCAATAACCTTGAGCGTATCACACAAACTGGAACGGGAAGAGAACTTCTGCAACTTAAGAATGTGACAGAGTGAAAAGCAAAAGAAGAAAAAACCCCAAAGCAGTCAGTAAAAGCTATTCTGCTAACCAAGCTCAGTTTCAATAGTTCACACGAGTGCAGGACCTATTCGTACCCAACCAACGGTGCCCCTGCCGCATTTCTGACTTGGTATGTGGCTGCTGACTCCATAGAAACGATAAATTCTCTACGTGTCAGGCTACTGCATTTGAAGGAAGTAAAATTCCCTTCTCTATTCATTAAGAAAAATCACGTGTGTTTGTGTTTTTTACGAAAGAGCCAGCAGAAATTCTTGTTCGTGACCACACAACGCCCCTGAACATACATTACCCGACAGTGAGCAAGGGTGACTGTCGCTGGTTATACGATGTTCCCAGACGAACACACTTACCAGGGCTGTGTTCCCCTAAAGAGAACGCCAGCCAGCGCACACCCCCATACCCAACTACACACGCCGTCTCCACGATGCTGCTGCAGTGATTAACCTTAGCTGAACACCATTTACAGAAGGCACCTGACTAGTATTTTTTGCACGCAGATTTAACGTCCAAACTGTAAACATCAAAAGACACTGCAAAATTCAGCCTCATTTACTATTACACTATTGGTTGGGATGAAACACATTCACCTCCTAAAAAAAGAGGTTGCTGTATAAAAATCACCGTTTTGGTTCTTAAGATAAAAATGGATTAATACCCAAAAGAATTCTGATTTTAACTGTACTTTCATTCAGATAAAGGCCAGACTCTTCAAAACTCTCTGGAATTTGAAAAGTACAGAATGAATTAGTACACTATTTGTGATGAACAATCATTTGTACACACACATGTGTTACTAGAAACAGTTAAAATAGTAAACACTGAAGTTCAGTATCAGTTGTGTATTTGCCAGTAAATCACCTCTTTCAGGAACAAACCACCACTGATACCAAAACTATGTAAAGGCAAGAATAAAGCCAATAGACCCAACGTGCTTCCACAGAAGCATCTCTGGCCCTGCCCACTGGCGACTATGTTTAAGTAATTCCAATTCAATTAGGAATTAAAAATTATTTGCTTGGAAATAATTTCTAGCAATGTATCACTGAAACAGAACCGAACCCGCTATGTCCAGTAACAGCATATAAAAGCAATTCTAGGAAAAGATGTGGGACAACATAACGTCAGGTCATGGAAGCAACAATCGAGGTTGCATGAGACGTTTTCAGTAACACCCAAATACATTCCCAGTCAGTGTCTGAGACTGTGGCCATTTGAACTTGAAGGAAACCAACTTGCTCCCTTCATTTCCTGATTTAAAAAAACAAACAACACCCCAAAACCATCCCCCCCCAACCTGAACACAACAACTGCCGGAAAGAGAAAGTGACGACCTCAGCAGTCATCTATACAAGTTGTTACAGCAGCAAAGGCACATCATTCGCACGCCTAATTCATTCCAACAGCTCCCAGTAACAACCCAAGAGCCACAGTCACAACATACAATGCCCTGTTTCTCACTCCCAAGTGTGGAGAATCGCAGCAGTTGCCTGCTAATGCAGCATTCACCATAAAAACGAAGACTACACTGCGTATAGGTTTTTTTATTGCTCATAATTAGCTTGCACAGTTCAGAAAACCTATTTTTCTTGCTTTAGTTTAGACCTGAGATACAGACTCTGTGGTTGAAAGGCCAAAAATAAGTCCAGACCACCTAACTGATACCACAGCTCAACTCTTCTGCCACGTACAGCTCCTCTGGGACAGTTCTCCAACAGGACTGGAAATTCTATGAGCCCTCAGGGCAGTCTCTTTTCTATTTTTTTTTTAGTTTTAGGAGCAGCCAAATCCATCAGAAACACAGAGCAAGAGCCGCACGCAGAAACGTATGGGGCTCAGCAACCTGCTGCTGAGCTGCCACAGAGCAGCAGCGATGGGAGAGCAGAGGAGTTGGGGATGGAGGCTGGGGAATGCAGGTACCTCAGCAGGAGGCAGCCAGGAGGGTTCCACTACAGAAGAACATACTCCACAGGGGAGAGTGCACCACTCCGCAAGGTTTCTTCTCCTTCAGCACCATTTATAAATGATAACACCAACAAGCAAGAGGGGGTCCCAGGATAGCAATTTCCAAGGTTTGTGTGACAGCACTAACGTTTTGGCCACAAACAGAAGCCAGTCTCTGTAATTTGCCTCATTAAAAGAGCTCTACAAATATATTTATCTTTTATTCCTATTTACCTGCTGAATTTCTCAATACTCTGTGTTTGCAAAATGTCTGGTCAGCCACTTAATCAAAGTACAGCAGCCTTGGGCACACAACAGCGTACTCAGGACCTCGGACAGGCTACAGTCGCCCATAGCCAACAGAAGAACGCTTGCTTTGTAGACCAAAATGTATTCCTGTTGTCATTCTACCTCTCAAATACAAGGACCTATCACCCTCAAAAGTACAGAGCATCTGCAGGATCCCAGTACTTCCCAACTTGTATGGCTTTCCTCAGTTATCCACAGCAACCGAGAGACTCCTGCTTTCAGAACATGATCCTGAGACATGACACGAGTGTGACCAGCATACAGCCTGAATGATGCAGTGTCTTTAGGGAAGAACATGTAACCACAAACAATTCTCTACCAAATACAGCCAACAGCACTTTATACATCTATTTTCTTCCATTACACTCAGCTTCAATCCACAGTTTCTAAAATTTAGGACTTGTAACTAATGTGGCCCAACTGAACACCATACAGGTTTCTTTTCATCTTACACCCTTCTTAACCTGCTTTTCCAGCAAAGGCAGAAGTATAACACTGTGCCCACCTGTAATGTACGACCAAATAATAATCCTGGAGCAACGACCTCAATTTTATGACAATTTCTGGGAAAATTTACTTTAGAGATAAATGCTCTTGAAGAAATTACCTCTGTTTTTATGCAGAGAGCAACCATCTAGAGTCAGTAACTGCACAGGCAGCTATTGTATTCACAGAGTTAAGGTTTATCAAAAGTGTGATCCATAAGACTTTTAGATCATTATTTCCAATATAACTGACCCTATATAAAAAGTACACAAGCACACTGTTCCATATTCAAAACACATGGAATTGTTTCTGCACGCTCTCAACCCAGCAGTGATTATTTTTAACTGTTCCCCTTTGCGGTCTTGCCTGTAGATGGCCCAGACAGTATACTGATAAAAGCAAGTATAACTGGCAACTCCCTAGTTAATCTTTAGTCTCCCATAGAGAAGCCAAAGCAGAGACTATTGCTGCCTCATTACATCCGAGTTCTTAGCTGTGATTCAACTCTTTAAAAAAACAAACATGTTTAGTCACCTCCTGCTTGCCAACCAATTGGTCTTAAAACCCCACTCAGTCTCTACATTTAGACTCCTGTTATTTGACAAACGCCTGAAAACAGTCTTTAAGAAATACCCACTGTCCACCCATTACTTGACCAAGCTCCAAACTGCCAGATTACAGGAACAAAGCCCAAAGTTTAGGGGCAGGCAAGCACTGCAGGCATACCTGGTACAAACAATGGCACACACTGCGAAGCTGTGGTGGGAACTCCGAAGAAGAATTAATGATTGCATGAAAAAATTTTTCTGTCATTTGCAAGAGACTCCGTTGATTCTCCTCAAGGCTTTCTGCAGGCTCCAGCCTGAAACAGACCCATAAATGTATGGCCAGCAATCAAATAAATGGCATGAGCTGTACTTACATGTTTGGTGGTAACCTTGTTTTCCAGGGTAAATAGAAATCTTACAGAAATATTTATGATGGTTCACACAAAAGTTCCCATCAACATTTTAAACCATAAGTTACAAACATAAGGTCATTTAAAACTCAGTAATAAACAGACAGCTATAACTGGGATTCTCTCACACCACTCCATACAAAGACACACCTACAGAATTCTAACTGATGATTGCACTATCAGTTTGATGGTCTCTATGAACGGAATTTTTGAGGTAGACACAGATATTTGTGTGCTAAACGATGTTTAAAAAGGCCTATCTTTTGGTAAGGTACCTAAACAAATACTTCAAGTTCCTCTAAGAGTTAGAGATAAATCAAAGCAATAGAACAACAGCTACTAATCCAAGACTTGAAGTGACATGAGAAATTAAAGCAAAAAAAATTACACACAACATGCATGCATTCATAGACTCATGGAATGGTTTGGGTTGAAAAGGACCTTAAAGACCATCTAGTTCCACCCCCCCTGCCATGGGCAGGGACACCTTCCACTAGACCAGGTTGCTCAAAGTCTCATCCAGCCTGGCCTTGAACACTTCCAGGGATGGGGCATCCACAGCTTCTCTGGGCAACCTGTCCCAGTGCTTCACCACTCTCTCCAAGAAGAACTTCTTCCTGATATCTAATCTAAACCTCCCCATTTTCAATTTAAACCCGTCACCCCTTGTCCTGTCACTACAGGCCCTTGTAAAAAGTCCACCCCAGCTCCCTTGTAGCCCCTTCAGGTACTGGAAGGTGCTATAAGGTCTCCCCGGAGCCTTTTCTTCTCCAGGCTGATCACATCCAATTCCATCTGGCTTCCGTAACTAATTTGCTGACCTAAAGCAGAAACTTTCTGGTACTACTCGAAATCCCCACATTAGTGGCCTACATAAAAGTAGGAAGTAGAAGAGGTCCTGCTCTCTATCTCCATTTTGCTCTCAGGGCTCAGAAGACGTGCAGCAGCTCTCCATCTCCCTTACTGTCTGGGGGCTCAGAGGACATGCAGCAAAATTCACCTCGCTGCACTAGACAGCTCTGTCCAATTCTCCCTGGGTATAAGGACTGCAGGAACATTTACCCTGTCTGGTAAAGTGAGGAGTAGAAAAGTTTGAAGTATGAGAAAAATACTTGCAATGTGGGAAAAGGAATCCTGTTATATTTACAATGACTGGGAATCATGTTTACAAATAAAGTCATTTGCTCCCCTCCCCCTCAAATCTCAAACCTTGTTGGATCCACCTCAAAGCTAACGTGCTGCCATTCAGAGGATGTGATCACAGTCCTTAATAAAGGTTCCAAAAGCTTCTGCAAATACGTAGCACCATACACCTGTGTAGAAAGAACATCAGGATACCAGCCAGATTAACATGGCAACTCACAGGAACACTTCAAAGTACTGCAAGTATTAAAAGAGCCTGAAAATATCTCATTTGTTTTGGTGTAAGCCGGATTTCTGTAAAACTGTTCCTATATTTTAGTCTCACTTCTGAAACATATCTGTGATCAATTTCCACAAGTATTTTAATTTCCAATTTAGAGAAAACTCAGGTCACTTTAATAACCACAATAACTAGATGGGATTCTTTCTTAAAAGCACAGTGACTCAACACCCCATCTCTGTTTGTATAGTACAACACAACTTTTTAAACTGAAAGGGAAGCACAAACAAGACCTCAGAGAGTTTGTTTCCCCATCTTGAAATGGCCAGTTATAAAAAGACCTTCAGCAACAGTCTTCAAGCCGGTACTAGCCCCACAATCACTTTTATGACTACACTAGTCAGAAGTTTAAAGAGTCCTACTATAACTGAAGATTATTTAGGAAAGGACTTTAAGCTAACTGTAACTTTTACAAATATTTAGCTGTTTGTTTCAACTAACTGTTTCTACCTAATCCAGTTACTCAAGTGCTTAACACCATAAACTGGCAGTTTTGTGCTTTTATATTACTACACTTGTTATTGAAGAGAACTGTAACAGAGAGAAAGGTTAGATAATATACCTTAAAACAGAAAGTCATTATTTTACTGGCTAAACTGTTTCCACGGAAGAGTGTCTGCATGGAATCTGCGAGTTCAACTTCCTTTGAAAACATATTCCAGAGCAGCTGGTAGAGCAAGTGCCGGGAATCAAAGAGTGTGACCAGGACACGAGCTAGCTCATCCTTAAAAGAAGCAATGCAATGTTAATGTGACTAGCAGTGAGCCAAAGCAAGTACAAAATAAACAATTATTAAAAAAACACCAAGCAGTTTGTACTAATGCTTTAAGTTTGGTACGGAGTCTTGCATGTGAATATCAAATGAAGCATACACACTCTCTCTTTACATCTTTCCTGTGCTATTGCTTGTCTAGGACTCTGCCTCATGATATCCAGTCATACAAATTCCTAATGGTTAGTCCACATAGAGATAAGCAATTATTCTGCTGTATAACAAAGTCCAATCCATCTTGCTAAAGCCTAGAGCATCAAATACAGTTCTGGTTGTCTGCATTACAGCACAATCTGTAATAAATAACCAGCCCAAACAGATTGATTCATTACAATAATTGTATAGAAAATTATTCCTAGATCTTAACTAAAAAACTACTACAAAAACGCTGTCCATAATCAAGATCTCTGACAACTAGATTCAGTAAACTTAGCTATCATGCACAGTAGGTCTGTCTCTTTAGCAGACTGTTGTTACACTTTCAAAGTTTGCATTTTTATTTCAAGTCTTAAATTGTCAAAAATGTAGGAAATAAAATGCATGAATCAACTTACCCACTGAGAACAAGGCACCACATTGGCTAAAGCCATAGCAATAGGAAGCTCCCCCTGATCACCCATCATTGTAACCAACTCCACCAATCTCTCAAACCGATCTGCTAGCACTGTTTCTGCTAACGTATCAAATTCTGTTCCCTGCTGCAGAATTTTGGTGAGGACTTCCATAAACGTAGCTCTTGTTTGGAGGTCTTTATGATAGCCCAAGCCTGATTAAAAAAACCCAGAACTACTAAGGAAGATGTAAAAATAAATTAAATACCAATGTCTTCATTACGTATTCATTTATGCACAGTTATCACTAACTACTTTACCTATTGAGTGCATAAGACCACTGTCCACGTTTGCATTGAGTAAATTTGACATAGCAAGAACAGTGCAGTGCCGTAGCGAAGCCAGTCTTCGAGACATTCCACGCTTCCGGCCACCTGTTTGTGCACTTTCATCTTCAACTTCACTACAGTCATTTAGAAGGTTCATAAACAGAGTGAAGTATCTAAAGAAAAAGAGAAAGACTTGGGTAAGTAAAGCAGGATCCACAAAGGTGACCATCTGCAACGATTTCAGTACACCAGCAAATAGACAATAAGCCTCCAAAAAGATCTCATCACTGCCTCAAGTAATCTTTCTTGCAGCACAGCCCAAACTTTTAAACCCACTGTATTAACTGGAAAGCACCATCCTAAACTTGGCATGCAAGTTTTCTCAAACCAAGCAAGGGAATTTTACAGCTGTGCCTTTACAAACAGGTGACCTGAAAGAGATTTCATGGGTAGAAATATATCAAAGCAAACTAATCGCTCCCATGAACTAAGCACACATCTGCATGTAGCAGAAAAAGCCAAATTTGATAGCTATTTTTAAAATTATAATGTTGCCATAAAACTAGGAGGTAGAGACTTGGAAATGGGATATGTAAGAGGTAATTTCTGTTTGGATAATAAAATTACTTCTGCTAGGTGAAAAACGATAGTTTGTATAAGTCATATGGTGCATCTACTTCAGAGTCACTATATAGAAAAATAGTTAGAAGTCCTTATTTACTTAAGAAATAACTGAGATTTCGCTTCCATCAACTCAACACCATCTCCTTCTTCAGGCTGTAGCGGAAGCCCAGCAAGAAGAGAGACCACTGCTTCCATGCTTGCTTGGTCCAAATCTCTGAAAAAGAACGTTTTAAGCAGCTGTGAATCAATCCAGCAGAATCAGTCAGTCTTCCCTTCCCCCCTTGATAATTTTCCCATCCAGCACCACGTCCCTTTTCCTTATATATCTAACCACAGGTGAAAAGATGGTTTTTTTAAGAACTTCACTATTCTAGTGAAGTTCTGTCCATCAGGAAAAGCGCAATGGCATTCGGTAGTACTGGTTCAAGCAACGTATCTCGTAAGGCCAACAACTGCAAACCAAATTTGACACTAAGATACCAGTTAAGTATAAATTCAACACCATAACATTTGATGATTTTATTCTTCAGAACACATCATATGAAGACACAGCTCTAGCAAATAAAACGCTCAACCAAAACCAGCACAGTCCTAAGGCTAAAAGGAATCAAAAGGAATTAAATACCTTCAGTAGGTTTGAAAAAACCAGAACACCCCACCTCGAGCCATGTTAGTTAAAACCGTGCATTAAATCGAATTCTGTTGTTGTTCACCACATCTTAAGTTTCAATTTCTGTCTTCTCCTGAATATTACTCTCACCAAAGGTGGTCCACACGAGCCTGCTCACTTGTGGATATCTAATGCCACCTGGAACACTGTGCCAACTTCAGCACCAGTTCAATAGCATTCTTTCTTACCTTGTCAAGCATTTCACATCCTCATCTGTTGCTTGATTAGATGTTCCCATAACCCAGTCTGTCAAATATTCCACCATTTTGTTCCTGTGACACACAGATATATTATTTTAGCATTTATTTTTTCTTTTTACCTTCTTTTTATTTTAAACAGCCCTCCCCCAAACACACTTATTACTGCTGGCATCACTCCTACTTATTACAAAATCAGTGTAAGGACTATGTGAATCCCCACACGCTGAGGATGACCTGAACTGATTTTATTACACCAAGTAATATTCCAGTCTGAATCACACACAGAACTTTTACAGGTGTTCAGTATCCCCACAGTCAAAATCAAATTTTAATGCAAGACCAGGCTCAAAATTATTCTGAAGACAAAGACAGGAGTCCTATCCCTATACCAGGAACACTGGTGAGAAACAGTTTTGGTTTGTTTTTTGTCTTAAAAAAGTAAACAAGCAAAGCTACACTTGCCCACATTACGCTATCCAAGAAATTACACAGTGCAATACCTACCTAAATTTCATTTCCTGGCAAAACGAAAGGTCATCTCTCCTCTCCATCATTACTTCTACTAACTGGCATAATTTAGTTTTTATTTGAATAGCATGTACCAAATTTCCAAGCACACGCACATACCTGAAGAAAAAAGCAAAACAATTAAATACTTCCTACTACAAGGCCCACACTTCTGACAAATCTTTTCAGCTCCATGCTGGAACCTACACGCTGGCTGGCCCAGCATACCTGCACGAGGGGTTCACAAGTGTTCGGGCTACCTTGTTTGGTTTGCCGAGTGGGCAAGCCAGCCATGACATCAGCTGAAGGCCGGCACCGACCCTCCTCTGGCCAAAGAGGTTTTCCAGTAGCACAAGAGAAATGTGCCCTTCAGCTGGTTTCTAACCACCACCACCATTGAAGAGAAAATAAACCAGGAATGCTTACAAGAATTAGGTCAAGCTATGGAATGGTTAGTTCTTTTTTTTAAAAAAAAAAAAAAGTCACATCCCCACCCCCCATCAGCGTACTCTGCACCGTGAGGAAGATGAGAAAATCTGCTACTACTTCTCCATGGATGCAAGCAGAAAAGACAAACTGGAAGGGTCTACCCTCACCTAAACATATCATAGAATTGTATCACAGAATGGTTTGGGCTGGAAGGGCCCTTTAAGACCATCTAAGTTCCAACCCCCCTGCCATGGGCAGGGACACCTTCCACTAGACCAGGTTGCTCCAAGCCTCATCCAGCCTGGCCTTGAAGACATCCAGGGATGGGGCATCCACAGCTTCTCTGGACAACCTGTCCCAGTGCCTCCCCACTCTCTCTGGGAAGAATTTCTTCCCGATATCTAATCTTACCCTCTCCGCTTTCAGTTTAAATCCGTTACCCCTTGTCCTGTCACTACAGGCCCTTGCAAAAAGTTCCCGCCCCAGCTTTCTTGTAGATGTATTACTTTGTATAGGAAGGCCAACGGGATTCCTTACCTAACCAGATTTAGCATCATTGTCTCAATACTAGCTTGTCCAAGGTGTTCTGAGCTCCCTTCTGTATGATTGTCAAGCAAATTCTTCATTATAGCAATGGTTTGCTCTACAAATTGTGTGTTGGTCTCAGTTAACAAAACCTACAGGAAGAAAATTGTTCGTTTTAATTCGTCACACACAAAACCAATAAAGAGTATTTATCAAATATACTGCAGCATTTCAAAAATCTAATGGACAAGCATTTGTCTGGTATCACCTAGCCAAAAGAATTCCAATATATCAAGATTAAGTATGTTGATACTACCAGCCATAACGATTCTGAGAACATTCTCACAGATTCTGTACTCAGAATTCACTAAGAATTTGAGAATGTTTTCAACTACTTCATGTTAAGTAATGCCTGGAATCACAAATACAATAATTATTAATGCATGTTGTCAAACACAATCACAATGTCAGTGGGCTTTTGTACAAAACACAAACAGCTATCAATTGCAACTACCTACACAAAAGACAAGACAGACACTTCTTATTAAGACACAAATATGAAGCAACGTATCAACACTTTACCTGTCCTTGAGAATCAAAAAACTTGCTGATGGTATTCTTCAGTTTGTTAAACAGCATGGGATAAAGTGCTGGACTCAACTCCAAACCCACCAGATCTTTAATATTAGTCCGTATCTGGAGTCCCACCTTCTCATGGTTACAGACCATCAGGGTCAGCAACCGATCGATGAATTTGCTAACAGGAGTCTCTGCATTTCCCTCCGTGGACACCATAGATATCATGGAGCCCTTACGCTCGTTGACAGGGCCCATAGGTGGGCTGTAGGTCGCTAACCCTGCATTGCTCCGATGCTGCAGGCACACTCCTCCGAGGGCACATAAGAACCCCGTCATGTTGATCCACTCCTGAAGAGAATCTGTGTCAGACAAGTCTATGGAGCCTCCCCCACTAACATGCGACATTCGCCTCTTGACAATTGTCTTGTGAAGACTTTCAGTAACCTGGAAGAGAAGGCTGAAGATGAAAACTCTTCAATCAAACATCACTAATAGAGAGATCAGAATTTTAAAGTATTCCGTAACGCATCCTGCCACTTACAATTCCAGTCTCAATAATTTTCTCAGATTCCCCTTTTACAGTTCAGTGTGACAGTATGAACAGAAATCTAGACAAAGGCACTGGCTTTGGAGAAGTTGAAAAAGCAAGGCTAAAAAGGACTGAAGGGATTGCCTGTCAATTCCCTGCTCTGCACCAGGATAAAGACTATTTAAAGCATAATAGCCAGCAGCTTGTTTAAAAACCTCCAGGTAAAGTGATTTCATCATTTCTCTAGTAGCATTCCAGAGTTTTCACTGTTCTTTTTTTCAAATTCTTTTTAATTTTTACGCTCAGTCTCCATCTCCCTTGCAACAATTTAAGTCGAATCACTTCTCGGTCTCTTAGTAAGCATAGCGAACAACTGATGAACGTTTTTCTTCTGGAACACTTTAATGGAGCTCAAGTCTGCCTACAAAACTCATTTATCTATATTAAATTCAATTTCTTAAAATACATAAGCTTAAACAGTCCTTTTGAATTTCTAAGCCTTGAACCTAGGGAAAAATTCATAATCACCTGCCCATCTTCCATTTTGGTCTTTGGATAGTTAAGGATTAGTTTTGTAGCTTGTTCCCATTTTGCATGTGTATCCTCCCAGGCCTGAAATAAGACAGAATATAAGATTTAACTCCAAAACTACTTGTAGCAACAGTATTTTCTGTTTTCAAAACAATATGCGTACGAAGAACACATGAGCTCCGAGGAAGGTTTACCTCTGTGTTGCCTGCAGTTGGATGTTCAATGCGTCTGAGTAACGCCATCACTCTTTTCTGGAGAGCTGCCCTCCCTGCAACACAGCACGGAACCTTTAACCAAGTTTTTTGACAACCCACCTACACCAAATAGGAGATCTTTAAATATAATTATTAAATTAGCAAAGGAACATATCCCCTTAGAGCATTTAGAAAAGGATTAGTCTCATTACACTTGAAAATTCTCATGCACTCAGTCACCTAAATTCTCTACTCTCTCTAGCAATGTCCATGATTAAGATGTTTCTGTGAAAGCAGGAGCAGCAATGAAATCAAGAATCTCAACCTGTTTAAAGAACTCAAACACAAATAACAGTCTTACTATACAAGTGAAAAGGTGTTTTACAGATTGATGATTCTCACCTGTCGACATCATATTGCTCACAGATGCAAACTCCATGAAAGTATTGTAGTTTGGCAAAAAATTATGCACCGACACTTCATCTACTCCACATCGGATGTCTGCTTCCTCGCAGAGGTGACGGAAACAGGACATGGCAACAAGGACTGCCTCAATATCTGGGCTCCACAAAAACATGTATAAGGCGACTTCCAATTTTGTTTGGGCTTGGCGACAAATCGGTGTTCCACTGCATCCTGCTGTACTTTCCTTGGGAAACAAACAGAGAATTCCAACTTCGGTAATATTGCTTATGAATACGGCAATTTTAATAACATTCGGCCTTATTGAAACTGTTCTTTAAAAATGCTTTTATTCCAGTAGCAATAAGCGGTCCTTCACAAGATCAGAGTTCTTAGATGGTGTTGCAGGGATACAGTAGCTAAGAACGTGCTCCTTTCATAAAGGTCACCACGTACCTCGGAAAATCTTAGCGACAGCGGAAAAGCATACATTAGAAATGTAATCAAAATCAAAGTTTTGGCTTATACAAGATGTTCTAAATATCCTCTTTTTTTTTCCTGCAGCTAGTAGTCGTAAAACCCAGCCTGAGATACTTCTGTCAAAGGGTATACCATACCAAAATGCCTCATTTTATGATCCTTCACAGGATTCATTATCGTATTCAAACTGCATGCAATACAAATGAGATTTCAGATTTATTACAACAGACCGATGTGTAGGGATGCTATGTGCATTCCTAAGGAAATAAGATTCACCAACATTTTACCTTGAGAAAGGTGTGACTTTTTAAAGCCTGAAACACCAGCCTGTTAGATACACACATTACGTAGGGCACAGATGTCTCTTCCTCCTCAGAAAGAACTTACTTTCTTTCTTAAAACTACTCTCCAAGCAATTTAATTTCTACTTGCACACAGGTTTTTCTCCCCAAGTGTTGAAAAGAATTATTAACATATATTACTTACCATGGAAGAATTCCCTTTTCCTTTCCTGAGGGTGGCTCCTGGAGCACAGCGTATCATCTCTTCGTGGTCAAGAGAAATTTGACTTGTTCCAGCTCCAGAGACATCATAAAGGAAGAGAAAGTGGCAGGAACTCCTATCTGATTGCTATAAAGAGAGGGAAGAAAAATAATAGATCAACTTATTTTTTGAAAAGGGTAAAAGGGATACATTTCAGGAAGGTGAAAAGTTGTTCAACATTTACACAGTACTCTTCACACTGGTGCTCTCAGGGCTTTATAAAGTTACCCATATTAATGGTATCTCAGAATGATATTTTTCCTTAAGAAATTATCTTGAGAGTAATCTTAAAAAAAAAAAAAAATCACCCTGAGGCACAAAATGATGCCTTTTCCTCCCTTTCTTGGAGCCTCCCGAAAGGCCTACAGGCTTCTTGGTTTTAGTCCACAGAACACATGCTGACATAAATATAATTACAATGTAGATGTAATTAAGTCTGAAGAAGCCAAGCTCTGGATCACCATACATTTTATTCTATAAATTTTATATTAGATCAGAAAAGCAGAGACCAAAATTGTGGAGCAGAGCTCTAACAACAACTGTTATCTTTTTCCGATCCTGGTATTAACGAACATCCTCCAAGAACTTAAGACGAAAGAGATTTTTACAAACAACTAATGACTTCCTAACTGGAAGGAGAATGGTAATATTAAGCATGCTTTCTACTGGAAGGACAGCTGATTTCCACTTAAGAGTCCACATGTAAAAGTCATCCTGAATTCACAGAAAGCCAGAATGCCTCAGGTCTTCAGCTGCAATACGTGAGGCTGTATTTTACAAATACATGTTAAACTGGAGATACCAAAGGGAAAAGCCGACACTCAGCATCAACACAGACAAAAAGCAGTGCCCATCAGTAACAGAGCTACCATAGTTGAAAAGAGAAGAAAATAAAAAAAATGTTATTTTAAGATAAAAACCTCTTGCTGAAAGAAGACTTTTCAAGCATGCCATATACTGCACATAAGGCAGCATCCTCACGTTAGCACAGCTACTTTCACATCAGACAGAACAAACAGAAACCGTTTATTTTTGCTATTTAATTCAAAAAGTGACATAGCAAGTCTGGCTTTAACTCTAGCAAGTATAGCACTACAGCATGTGGCTTGGAAAAAAAGTCTCTTGAGATTATCAGAAGCAAGTCAGAATTGTAGAACTCACAAGAACATGAGATCCCAAAAGAAATTTTTATGTCATCCATGAAGAAGTATATTTCATCATAACTAACCTTCCCTTTTCCTCACTTCGTGGACCATTTCCCTTTGTATTAGGCAAATAGGTATCAGGCACCACGTTTCTGTGAAACACATTTTCCAGGCAAGTAAGACAGCCCACGTAGCTCAAGTAAAACAAAAAGTCCTAAACCTAACTGGTTAAAAACTCTATCAAGGGTGCCTCAAAAAGCACAGACTGTCAGCAGAGAGGAAATCAGAACACAAAGTGTAGGTGTAGCTATTAAATCTCTTCCAGCCGTAAAAATAACCTGGTAAATACAAGGAGTGACAAAGCAGAGATTTTGATCCATTTTAATGATCTGAACAGACAGATGTTACCATTTACTTACTTTGTTTTTTAGAAGAAACTTATTCCTACAGATGAGAATCTCTCGCAGCCACTTGAGGATTTCTGTACTGCTGAGCATCTGATGACTAGTTAGTTTCTTGCAGATATAAAAAAGCATTTGTGAACTGCAGCAAAATGAAATTCCACATTAGCTTTACAATCTAGTAACAAAAGTTTTCATGATATTACTACATTTTACATAGAAATGGGCAATTAGCATGAATAACCTATACATACACCAGCATAATCTTTTAAAATGCAGAACAGATATAATACAGGTATGTACTATAAATGACAAGCTCCCCTCTGACCCTTCCCACCGCCCAGCTGGCCTTTTTAGTTCCCTAGAGGAAGTTAAGTGATTTGGGTACTTGTTAGGAGTCCAGACTCCAGGGCTGTCGATTCAGAAGTCCTCCATTTATCCACAGAACAGATACAGCACAGACAGTGGCAGTACAAGTTTACCTACACTGCTCTGATAACGTGTCTCAACTCTGTTCTGGAAGGAACACATCTAGGGATGTTCCTTCTTCATATCCATTCAGGCCTCACACTCTCTGTTAAAACTGCCAAAGGGTCCAAATTAGTGTCAATTTTAATGGGTTTTTCCCCCAGCCCGAAAAGACCACCAACTCATTTCTACTACTAGGAGTTACAGCAATGAGTTTCAGTTCTTGCCCATCTAGGCAGGGCTCAGGCCCAAACCTATCCCGTAACGAGCCCCTTGAGCCACGTTTAGCAGTCACACAGGCCACTTTGTTGATGCTGGTAAGAGTGTTCCTCCTAGACTGTTGCTCTCTTTCTTCTAAAACAAACAGCTGTACCGATTCAGACCGCCAAATATTCCTTTTAAAAACTGTTTAGTTCAGGCAACTCTTCAAAAATCTGAGTTTACAGATTCCTATTTTTCAGTTTAGCATTTTGTGTATTTCTAATGGTTTTGGAACTTCGTTTCCCTTAATAAAATCAACTGCAACAGCTGACGCGAAGTCATAAAAAGCAAGATAACTTTAATGAATGAAAATACTTCAAATACACAGGGAAGACAAGTGGAGCTGGCAGGTCAGGGCAAACTACTACCTCCTCTGGGTGAGGGCTTCAGAGGCAAGATTAAGAAACCCACACTTCTAGAGTTGCTTAGCATTACCCCCCCATTGGCCCCCAGAAAGATAAAACAGAATTTAAACATGTAGTAAACATTTGAGTGAGGTGGAAAAGTCTCTACCTTTTCAAACTAATCATCATTTCTACACCTGAACATCAGCCTGAAGAGAATCATTAAGAAAGCCAGCTAAATGTTTGATGTATTTTTAGTAAATTCTTCTGGTTTACAGAAGACAAAATGTTTTCATGAACACACATAATAACCCTGACTGCAGATTTATGCTGATGTTGCATAGGCTTCCCACAACATTCAGGGCTATTTCAAAAGAGAAGACAAACAAAGCAGCTATTTCTCTAACTCACAAAGTTAACTTACATACCTAATTTCCCAGAATGTTTCTATAGGTGCGTCAGGATTCCACAAGTCAATGCTGTCTAACTGGTGAAGAACTAGCAAGGCCTAAATTCAGAACAAAGTAGTTTCACTTAAAGGCACAAATTTACAGAGTACATCAGAGAAATAGGTGCAATCACATATTGATTACATTGTTTTAAAACCAAAAGACATAAAAAGCATTTTGTATTGAAGAAGAGTTCCTTGTTAGTCCATGTCAGAAGTATTTAGTGTTGATTGCATATTTATAATCCAAACCGAGTGGTTTTACCTTACTTAGTCCACACTAGACACACAGACACTACGTTTTTAAAAGACAGGTTCTGGCTTTAATATTTTCTTAATGTCCAGGTGCAAAAAAAAAAAAGTAAGGCAACCAATTCTATGGATATAAAATTCTATCGGCAACAAGAAAATTTCTGTTGTTCAAGATCTTTGTAAATTCAAGACAAACACTGTGCTCTACAACCATTCCCTGTGCAAGCAGAAACTTGGATAAGAAAAGGTCCTGACCATTTCCAAGAGCGTACTGCTGAAGTCTGACCAAAACTATAATCTCTGCTTTTGATTTAGTCAGATTAACTACAAAAATTTCAAAAATCAACTACTTATAAAATATTTGAAGACAATTTTCCGAAGAAATACATATCTGAAAAAATTGGTCAAAGGCTACAGACAAACAGAAAATTATTAATTAGAAGTTGTTTATCCTTAATTATATCCAGCAACTATAGCAAACAAAATCTCTCCTCTTAAGACATCTATTACTTGGGGTTGTCTTATATGCAGGGAGATAAATCACCACTTTGGTGAAAACAAGTTATAGACAGAAGTGTGGAAAGTCGTAGCTATTTTCTCTCACAAATTAAAAAAAAGTTTGCTGTAAGGGATCAGTATGAAAAACAGCATTTGGAAAAAAACCAAGCCACCCATACTGTTCTCCAACAGTAGCTATTTCAAATCACTTCCTATTGTAAACAAACACTCCAGAACTAGTTTTGTAACCTACTCAAAGCCACATCTGAGAGGCCGGTCCTCAGCCAGCTAAGGCAACAGTCGGGCAGATTAGGGATTAATATCAATAAAGAACCAAGACCAAAAAGGACACCAGAACTAAATTACAAACTTTTCAATCTCTAAGCTCCTGTAAATGACCGTGAGGATGTTACCACCCAACAAACTTCCCCAAAAACTTCCAGTGAAAAGGATTATCCTTATACAAGAAATATTCTTGAATTCTTCCATTAAACTATCAAGAAATACGTATTTCACACATAGCAGTATATTGACATGATCTTGTTGAGCTATGTTTTAATAAAAACCCTTAGCTTACCTACTAAACTTCAACTATTTACATATAAGATTTTAATAGCATATAGGTGTAGTTAATCCTTTCCTATATTCTACCTGTGAAAACCTCAAACATGAAAGCTGGAAGGTCCCTTCCAACCCAGACCCTTCCATGTTTCTGTGTCAACGAAGCACACTCTCTCCAGTGCACTTCTTCATATGGGAATCTAAGAAAGGCAGGATAATATAACTGGCACCGTGGATTCAAATAAATCAATCAATCTTGCTGTTCCACTGTGCACCGGGGGAAGCTGAAGCCTCCTTGGATTGTATATGAAGCACTCTGGAGAGCCACCGTAGTGAAAATCCACACAAGTGTTACAACTGGCCAAGTCACAGAATCTGCTACTGTGCACAGAAAGGCTAAAAATCAGAGGTAACTTTGGTGATTTGTTGGCTTCTTCAGTCAAAGCTGGTGGGAAGATTCCAGTAGCCTTGGAGTATGCTATCCATCCCTCCCACACATTCCACCTCCTCTGATTCACAACAGAACACGGGACCAGCCCCTGCATTAGGCATCTTTCTCAGAGTCATGTAGACACCACTGAGCAGAAAGGGCAAGCCTAACGGTGCTCTCGGCAGAGACGGAACAGAGGAACCGTCACACTGCATCTGATCAACACCAGGGACGAACAACCCACATTAAGTGGTGCAGGGCAGTCACAAGAAGCAGTGCCAATTGCCTTTTCATATCTTCTTAGTGCCCTCTCCTGTAAAACTTTCAGTGCAAGAGACATTTAGAAAAAGCTCAATAGATACCAAACTCCGAGACACAGAACTTCACAGCTAATCAATACTTCAGGGCTTCTACAAAATCCTTGATTGGCCTGTGTACTAATCGTGTGGCACAGAGAACATCTACCCTTACCTCCATGGCTTCTTGTGCTATGTCTGGCATGCTGGATTGCGGCACGAGTTGTACAAGGCCTGTAATCAATTCAGCCGTGCTACCTTGCGTCTCCGGCCCCTGCTTCCTTGGATTCTGAACAGCAAAAAGAACAGCATAAGTTGTACATTTTTTCAGTGACTGACCAAGTTACTGACCACTACAGCAGCAATCCTGTAACTAAACTCGGGGGATTTCTGGATCTGTAAAAGAGTACCTCATTTCTTTTTAAGCTACGATACCCTTTACATATCATATCTTTGACAGAATTGAAGATTTTTTAAATTAAACAACACACAGACCTGAGAAAACAGAACATCTAAGAGCGAATCTGTCTTTCTACTCATTGAAATGTCCGATTTCCTCCCCTCTTATTTTAGTTGTCTTGTCCTATTCCCCTCCATCCTCCCCCCACGCCCCCTTTCATTGTGTTACTCTGGTTCTGTACAATTCCATACAGTTTCTTACTGGTTTGGTCTTTTGCCTTGGAAAGAACAGGAGCGTTAAAACCAGAGAAAAGAACGAGTAGGGAAGTATCCTAGGTGAGAGTTCCACGGTTTTAATTTTTATTCATTTAGTAGCTCAAATTTTACTAGAAATGGATAGTATGATATACTTACACACAGCAAAAGCTTTGGATCAGCATGGATGAGTTTTACCAAGGATAACAGCAAGAACTTGTAGCTTCTCGTTTCCAAGTCAGTAGGTTTTTCTTTAAATTTAAGGCTTGTCATCTTCTCCTTAAACGTAAGGCTCTGATGGAAGGAAAAATCACAGTCATTGTCAGTAAGGTAGTCTACATAGTAGGCATAATTAAACATCTTATGAAGTGTATTGCTTTTATAATCTATAACTCATGAAAAAGTTTAAAAGTGTATTAAATTCATTCAAGGATAGTTGCATACGGTGTCTACTTAAAAATCCCCTTTCACCTATGCATATACTATCACTTCACTGTGTCTTTAGAGTCCACTGAAGAATTGTTTTAGGAAATACATGTGGGCATAAGAGAAGTTTTTGCATATGAAACCATGGCAAAAGAAAAATGGATAAAAGGACTAATGAGAATTTAGAGGGATTTTCTCTGGTCCTAGAAAGAAATAAAAATAAATGTTTCCAAGTAAGCTTGAATACATCACAGGCCAAGGAGCTTTTTTTAAAAGGCAAAATATTCTCTTTATTCTGTGCCGAAATCGCAGTCTGGATGACAGCATTTTCATCTGTACAACCTCTGCAAAGGGTACCTTTCAGTTTTCACGAGGCACACTGTGTGCCGCTTAAACGACTACAAGAAAAAAAAAAAAATCTACCTTCATCTGAAAAACCACTGAACTACCTCTGTACCAGCCCACTTCCTCATGTGAAACAGAGGAAGAAACAGATACGTACTGAGAGCTCACATAAGGCACTCTGGTTTGACTCTGGCCTTACTACACCGTAACTCTACCACCGCTGCCGGCACAGCAGAAGCCAGGCAGCAGTATGACCAGCACGTTTAACCAACAGCCACACAGAGTGCTGGCTATGAAATAAGTGCATACGGATGCTACCGGCTCTAAGGCTTTCAAAAGCTGAGTTCATGCTTCCATCCTACAGTGTGCACGACCCTTCCAAGTGCGTGGTCACCCTGCTTTACGACAACCAACTGCAGCTTCTTCATCTCAACAAAAATAATTTGGATGGGTGCTGAAGTCTGTGAAAAACAGTATCTATAGATGTGTGTGTGTACACACATACACAGAAATACATGCATTAAAAAAGCCAACTTGCATTCATTGGCACCCATTGTGTCCAGAGACAAAAGATGTTCAACTCTCTCCCGTAAGGTTACAGAATTTATATTTTTATTATTTTTCCACTTGCACCAGCAGGGATTAAATTAGTATTTAAGGTATTTAATTATGTCTTTATATTATTTATTATGTCTTTATATAATATGTAATTACGTCTTTATATTATTTATATCATATTTAAGTATTTAATTATGTCTTCAAGGCCAGGCTGGATGAGGCTTGGAGCAACCTGGTCTAGTGGAAGGTGTCCCTGCCCGTGGCAGGGGGGTTGGAACTAGATAATCTTTAAGGTCCCTTCCAATTCAAACCATTCTGTGATTCTATGATTCTATTTTTTATTACAGCTACCAGAACAGTTACAAGACAGTAACTTGGACAAAACAACTGCCATTGTGGATATCCAACACAAGACAGAATCCTATGCTGTTTATAAACTCAGCTTTCTAGTTTTGTCTAGTTCATTATTGGTGAAGATCTCAGACAATAACATGGACTTATTTGTCATTTTCATTAAACTTACAAGATTTGAACAAAAAAAACCCTAGCTTGCAATCATCCTCAAGGTAACCGAAGAAATGGTATGACATTGTGGAACTAAATAAAACAAGAAATTAAAACTCATGCTATTTTGCTAAATCGTGAGTGTGAAAATACACAGAATTCTACAACAATAAAAAGCCTCTGATGAAGAAACTGATAGCACACTGGTGGAGGCAACTCATTCTCTGCTAAACCTTAGTTTGCCACCATTAAGGGCATTCTGGAAGAGGCCCATAGCAGAAGCAGCTGATTCATTTCTGTGAAGCTATTTATTTACTTCAAACGATCAAAATTAAGGACTATCATTAACCAAAGACAGGGACATGACTGCTCTCTGTAAACACATCGAGGGGATAAACACCGGTGCGAAGCTAACAGACACCACTGGAACAAGAACAAATGGGGTAAGTTAGACATAAGTAAGTTTAGGCTGGAAATTGGAAAACTGTTCTAACCACCAGTGGGGGGAGATTCTGGGAGAGCATCATGATGGAACAGGAGGGGGCAGAAAGAAAAGAACAGAACCAACAAAAAGCCTTTCCTTCTAGGAAGGAGCTCAACTGTGGGAGGGATTGCCTTGCAATGGCCAAGCAGAGTGCCGCCGAGGTCTCCCCCAGCACTACATCCCTCCGCAAAACGTGCTACCTTCTGCATCCCAGGTGAGGTGAGGTGACTGCAGCGGTAACTATGCACAGAAAAGTCAGCGTAAGGAAAGGCTTTTCTGCGGTAGTTACGATGGGTCATACTTACAGCAACAGAGGCCCACTGCCATGCAAAACAGTGACTGGTTGGCATCTGACCATGTCAGCGACAGCAGCCAATAAGAACGGAAAATAAGAAGCAGAAGACAAAGCACCACCAATCAATGTCAGAGTTGCCATTACAACACCCCTGCTATTTTCTCAATGGATTAATATACACAAGTAAAAAGCAAGTTAAACATGTTGTAGCTTTCAATTAAAGGTATTTTGACCATTTGCTTTCATTTGCGAAGCCCAATAGGAATATTTTCATGTATCATTTTAGGCCTTCTAAATCAAACCAACCAAGTTCACTCGACAAATCGAGAGTCCTAAATGGAAAGTTCAGAAGAAAGGCAATGCAGCTGCATGTGAGCTTACTAGAAAAATTTGGATGAGCCACAAATTTGAGTTTACTCAAATTTTTTTCCAAGATACTCAAGAATACTGACTTTATTTCTTAATGGTTGAAAAATCTTTTACTTTGTTGCTGTCACTAAGACCAATCAGTCAACTTGCTCAACAGAAAGCAAGCAAGACAAATGAAAAGAAGAAATACTCATGCCAATTGTGGTAAAAGCACTGCAGTTTTCATAAATTACCTTCGCATACAGAATGCTTTTGTTTTTTCAGATTAACAGGAATGGACACATTACCTAGCTATTCACACAGCAAGAAAGCTTAAAATGAACAGTCAGCCACAGAGGACAGTTACAGAAGAAATATTTCTATGTTGCCAGTTTAAAAGCAGCATGAAAACTGAGAAACATACCACACTAACTGACTAGAAACAGTTAGTCAATACAGCAAAGCCTGCAAGGTTTACAGAGCATGTATGGCTCTCTGTTGCTTTTTGGGTTGCAATGTTCTTCCCCCCCCTCTAGTTTCCAGTCTAAAGTTAATGAATAAAAAAGCTGGAGTGGGATGGAGACACAGGAAAAACAACAGCTTTGTGTGGTGAAGCCTTACCGGAGTCATGCGAATTGCTGGATGCGCCCCGCAGCCTTGAATAGCTTTATGAAGTGTCTCGCTGAACATGCTGCGCAGCTCCATGGAATGGCAGTACACGGCATCGATCTTGGGCCACCAGTCCAACGCAGACTGCAATGAAAACACAGAAAGGCTCAAGCAGTAAACCGCTAAGATACGAGTGAGATTATTCTTTATTTTCTACCTCTAAAAGTTACGAAAGCTGTAGCGTAACTAACCTTTACACCCGAGTATTTTACACAGCATTTCAGACAAGTTACATTTGCATTCTCCCTGTAAAACTCAGAAGACGTGAGTGAGTTGTAACAGATGCAATACTTCCCACTCAGCTGCTTACTACATCACGCTTCTTTATGAACACACACAAACTCGGCCACCATGAATGCAGGAAGCCGCGGCAGATTTCAGGATACTGAATGCCAGCAAGTAATACTTCAAACCAGCGTGCAGCCAACTCATTGTGATCCACCAAACAAAACGGAAAACTGGTATTTTAAGTGCTTGATAACATCTGAAAAGCTGTATTACTCCACCAGACACACCACTTCATTAGCTTTTTCTCACAGTAGCACTTTCTCCCCCTATTTGACAAAGTGCCTCATTTTATTACTTTCATAGACTCATGGAATGGTTTGGGTTGGAAGGGACCTTAAAGACCATCCAGTTCCAACCCCCTTGTCACAGGCAGGGACACCTTCCACTAGATCAGGTTGCTCCAAGCCTCCTATTTTTTTTTAAATACAGTGTGTCATTACAATGTTGGGATAAATGCAACAGAAAATTCTATGTAAATTAAGTAAGGCTGGTTGCTCAACACTGGCAGATTGGATTTTCATACTGATCAGGAAACCCTTTCTGAACAGTATAAAAAGTAAAGTTGCATTTTAATGATTTAAAGTACAATATCGCATGGAAGATGAACAACTGCAGAAACTTTCAAAATATTTTTGGCACTCAGTATTTACTACAGTTTTACACTGCTTAAATTCATACTGGATCAAGTCCCTGGGCAAAACCCTCAAAGGCCAGCTCTTCCCCTAAGTTCCCATGTCAGTATAACCAGCAGCAGAAGGCGGTGTAACAAGTGTCCTGAGAATGTTTTTCACGTATCAGTAAAGCTTATTACAATGCCCTTTTTTATTAAGGAGCAACTCTTGCTGCATGGATACAGCAACAAGATTTTGTCCACTATTCAAACTGTATTTAGTCAGTAGATAGTGATCTGAATAGAAGCCACAGATTGCTGGGCTGATTAAACACTTTCAGAACTTACATTTGTGATTATGCGGTGGAGCGAATTCACCAGTACGTAATGAAATGTTGACGGGGAATTCTGTGCCAAGCAGATCTACAATGAAAATACATAAAAGCCACTTAGGAACACCTTTTTCTTTGCCATCTCTCTTATCACGCTGGATAACATAAAGGAGCTTTTACATTACATTGACAAAGCTGTCAAATCTAAACACGAGAGAGTCTAACCAGCTGAGAAAAGATCTATAAGAACATGCAGGGTTTTATTAATGAGGGATATTTATACAGCTAAACTTATTTATGAGCTGCCAGCTGCTGCTAGCGTATCTTCTGTAACTGAGAGGTCATCGGTGGCATGTAGAGAATGACTTACCAGTAACTGGTGTTCTCACCTTAAAGTGTTGGTTATTGTGAGGATTTATGCGGAAGCAGGAAACTAAGCAGTCAATCATAAGGTCCACATCTGCGTTCTGATTGCCTCTTGAAAATGGTTTGCTTGGATTAAACAGTAAATTCTATATATTTAAAAAAATATAAATACGTAAATCAGAGAAAGATCATTCCTGTCTACATTCACCACAAAACGTTCCACAGAAAACACTATGCTATTCAATTAAGGATAAATTCAAAGTTTACTTCAGTACTTTAAAATTCAAGTTTCTTCATTGCAATTAAGAAACTGACATTTTTACCTTCAGATCTACTACCATGGACTGCACTAGTAGGAAAATGACGGAATTATCTTCCCAGTTGATATAGGTAGATGCTTTGCACAGTTTAACACAAGCAATAGCAGCACTTTCTGTCAGTTGTCTGCTTCCACTGTGGCCTGCGAGTGCCTTCCTGAGATTGTCCAAGAACAGTTTCTGCAGAATTCAAACCAGGAATAGTTATAACCAGAGCTCTGGCAATAATCTTGGTTGGGGTTTTTAGATCCTTAAACATTGCAAACAAAGAACATGGCATTTTCGGATCAGAAATCACGATATTGGGGTTGCAGAAGACAACTTGACACAGCATTCTGGAGAAACGTTACGCTTATTAGAGGCTAGTTTTGAATGATCTAGGGCAATCCAAATGGCACAAAGAGATGGTTGTTTCCTCTTAACCATAATGGTTGCAGCCACATCACATTCAACATCTGCCACAGGTACCACAGGAATGGAACACACAGTACACACGCTGCAGAAACACAGATCAGCACAGCATGGTCACGAGAAGCAATGCTAAGTTTGCTGCTGGTGGAGCTAGGGGAAACCACAACAATGGGATTCAAACTCCAAGGAGATGTAAAAGTTCTGAAATACTACTGTTGGGACATGCTATCTGTATGAATTACTGTCAGTGACAGAACAAGTGTTAGGTGAGAACTTAAAAAGGGTGCAGAAATCTACATATGGTATTGTAACATGCTTTTTAGGCAAGAAAGACAAAATAAAATATAGCTGAAATACAGAATAAGCATCCCCTAAAAATGGGAATTAGAATTCAGACACCTTTTTTCTCTTACCTTGTTCATTTTAGTTTCCTCTACCACGTCCTTTGCTATATCTTGGATAATCTCTGGACACAGGACCAGGAGTATGATTTGCAGTGGCCAAACTGCTGCTTTACGTTTTGTGCTTTCAGCAAAGCCATCCACTAAGTCAAACAACTTCTCTGCACAATCTGCATAAAATATAACCCCAAATTCAATACCAAGTTTAACTATGAAACGGTAAAGAATAGGTATAAAAGATCAGAGGGATAGCTCTGCCTACACAGAAATAAGTCCTGTTTTGCACATTACTGGAGATAAAATGGTCTCAGAGTTAAAGGCATGGTTTACCTGAAAATACAAATTTTCCTCTCTTTTTGACTAGAGACATATACAGGTGATGTTCTCTTAAGGTTTGTTTGGTTTATTTCCTGTATCAAGATGAAAAATATATATTTAAAGAGTTTCCATCTTTTGGGTTTTATTTCTTTGTGTTGTGAACCAAAAAATTAATCTCTTTAAAAGGTGAATCAGGAGAGAAAAGAGAGCAGTGTATCCTTGCCTGCCCTGACAAAAGCTAACAGAAATTTGTTTCTTATTTGCAGGCTACACAAAAAGCAAAGAGCACGAAATGCAAGTGAATGTGGGAACGTCTGAGAAACCAACTTTTGAACACTATGTCACTGGTTTTGCCTTACCAGCCATATCCGTCTGTGGTGTTTGGTACAGCTTTGTGAATTCATCAGGATAGTTTTCCACCCAGTTCCAAAATGCCTGCGGATAATGTAAAACATCTTTACATTCCAGAGCTCAAAAATACTTTTTCTGAATTATGTCATTAAAGAATAAGCGATCTTACTCTCACTTCTAAGCATATATGCATCGAAGGGATGCACCACCATATATGTTATAGTAAATTAATGAATTGCAACTATTTATAAATTAGACAATGGCTGCAAATAAGCAATGAAACAGAAGATAAGTATTAAAATACTCACCTTTTCAAGACTGTTGATAACTGCTAACTGAGCTACTTTTTTAAGGGCTTTAAACTTGAATACAGTCTCTGTAAAGGGAAAACATTTCTGTATTTAGAAAAGAAACTTGGTTCTAAAAAGCAACCCTGATTATAAAAGCCATGAGAAGCACAAACCAATATTTAAACCAGATCTTTATGCTGCTTAAGAGTATCTTCTAATATTTTGGTAAATCCTTATCAACGATCTAGACGAGGGGATCAAGTGCACCCTCAGTAAGTTTGCAGACGACATGAGCTGGGCAAGAGTGTTGATCTGCCCGAGGGCAGGACAGCTCTGCAGAGGGATCTGGACAGGCTGGATTGATGGGCTGAGGCCACTGTACAAGGATCAACCAGACTAAGTAGAGAGTCCTGCACTTGGGTCACAGCAACCCCCTGCCACGCTCCAGGCTTCAGGACGAGGGGCTGGAAAGCTGCCCAGTGGAAAAGTACCTGGGGGTGTTGGTCGACAGCAGCCGGATAGCAGCCGGCATGTGCCCAGGTGACCAAGAAGGCCAAGGTCATCCTGGCCTGCATCAGGAACAGTGTGCCCAGCAGGACCAGGGAAGTGATCATCCTCCTGTAGTGGGCACTAGTGAGGCCACACCTCAAATCCTGGGTTCAGTTTTGGGCCCCCCACTGAAAGACAGACACTGAGGGGCTGTAGCATGTCCAGTGAAGGGCAAATGAGCCGGGAAAGGGTCTGGAGCACAAGTCCTGTGAGGAGCTGCTGAGGGGGCTGGGGGTGTTCAGCCTGGAGAAGGAGATGGCTCAGGGGAGATCTTTTTGCTCCCTATAACTCCCTGAAAGGAGAGGACAGAGGGGGCAGGTCAGTCTCTTCTCACAAGTGACAAGTGATGGGACAAGAGGAAACGACGTCAAGTTGTGCCAAGGGAGGTTTAGATTGGATATTGGGGAAAATGTCTTTGCTGAAAGGGCTGTCAGGCACTGGAATGGGCTGCCCAGGGAGGTGGTGAAGTCACCATCCCGGGAGGGGTTTAACAGACATGGCTTAGTGGTGGTATTAGCAGTGCCGGGTTAACAGTTGGACCTGATGATCTTTTCCAAGCCAAACGAATCTCTGATTCTAAACGTATGACTATTTAGAGTAAAACACAGCAATAAAAAGATAAACACATCAATACCATTGCATCACCTTTAACTAGGCATATTCAGGTAAAAATATTTCAAAAAACAGGCTCAAATCATACCTTGCAAGAGTCGCTTTAGTTTCGAACAATCCACACTGATGTACTGTAAAAGTTCAATATCATGAACATCAGCATTATCTTCTGAACAAACAGTCAGTTCCTGTAATCTAAAAATACGCAAAGTAAACTGACTTCTCAATCAGGTTACGTCAGAAAGGTACGAACACACCCCCATGACCCTACACACTGGAACAGCAGGGGAATACTGTATGATCTCCTCACACAATACAATCTCCTCAGATAAGCTTTTCCAGGTTTAGAAATGAAAGACAGACCATAGTCTTATTCCACACTCAAACTCAAAATAGATCTAAAAATACCTGTGATGTCTTACAAGATACCAATAGCACCTGAAGATGGTCTGTTTATGCCCAAGATTGGCCTAAATCCTCTTGTTATCTACCATACTGTAGCAGTAATCTTGCCACCCTTCCATCCAAATATCATATTTATGGAATCGTGACACCTTGAGACAATTGCTGTTCAGCAGCAAATTTTGCCCCAGCTATTTCCTTGAAAGGAAAGCAGTGACTGATGGTACTTAATATCGCTGAAGTGAGCTACAACCGCTAGCTCCATGTTTTTCTGCCCTAAAGAAACAGGATGAACTTTAATCACACCAGTTTAAACACAATGGCATCTTTTCACACTTTTGTATTAGATGATTTACGAAACATTTCATAATGTAATTTCATAATTCATGAATAAATTAATTTCGTAATTCATTTTCATAATGTAAACTAAACCTCTAATAACAAAATCATATGTGCTCACAAACTGCAGACTGCTAGGTCTTGTTCCAAAGCTACAGATGTGTTTTAGACTTGGAATGTGATTTCTAGTACTACACACAAAAGCAGCTCTTCATTTCTCCAGCGCCAGGGAAACTTAACAGCCCTCGCTGGGAATGGGAAGGTCCCCACTGCTGTGCTTTTCGTGCCAAAAATCCCCCAGCTGCTGTACAAGGCCTAGAAATATGCCTAAACAGGAAGCACAGGTCAAAAGATCAGCAATGCTAACTGTCAGCAAGCTGACCCCTATGGAGATCAGCAACAATTGGTCAAATATTTAACTATTTACGTACAAGCCATCTTGGAGTGAAAACAGGTTAGGGGAAAAAGCAGGATGTTCCAGCTCAAATGGATGGTAAGAAGGGCTTTGGAGCTTGAGAACTAAACCATGCTCCAGGCGCATGAACAAATACAGACCATGGACTACATTCAAGCCCGTCAAAAAAATTCAAGTGAAAAATACTTCCTGTTAAAGGAGCAAAAGAAATTGTTTCCATTTCCATAAGCAACAAAACCTAATCGACCTGTTGAGTTAAACCACATCCTCCATGCTAGCTGCCAAGTCCATGTTCTTGAAACAGAAGTTATTAAAGGCTCTGTAAAAGTTTTTAAAATACTTAACATTTCCAATTACTAACTAATTTTAGTCTGATTTCTAAAATGTTAATATTTTTCAAAATGTTGGAATGGAACCGGTTTTGTACTACAAGGAATATACAGATCTTTGTTTCAATTAAACTGGCACACTCTTTGCTATGCCACATAAGGCTGCCCAAGCTCCACTTTGAATAAATCAAGGATGATTTTAGCTGTAACAACGTGTGGTAAGAGCTAAGGTACTTCAAGCAGATAGCAAAAACATCAAAGTATTTCAGCAATAAAAAGCTTAATACACAACTCTAGCAGACTGGCAAACATTGAAGCATCAGAAGGATCTGGAATGGGACAAAAAGAGCAAAGAATAGATGGAAACTTTGGGCCTGTCTCTCTTCTCACTTAGAACAGCAGCAAAGACAGTTATTTTAAAAGTAAATGCGCTGTGAAACTCAAGTCAGCAGACAAATGTTTCTTTTCCAGCAACTAACAAACAGTCCAGCTGTTTTGTCCCCTTCAGGCATAAGAGAGATTTAACATAAAAGCCTTCAAGCAGGAAAAATTAGGAAGGAAAACAGCCTTGGGGCTCCAACAGAGCTGTAGACAATCAGAAATTTTGCATTCTAAATTCATAAGTAAAGAGATACAACCTATTATCTTCAGCATCCCTTTTTTTTTTTTCCAAAATACCTTGCACTCACAAGAACTCATCCAACTTACTCAGCTGAGTTATTTTCACTCTACTACAGCACTTGACCTGTACTTATGAAAGCAGATTAAAAAAGCAGTAAGTGCAGCTCACAGAAAACGTGCTGGCAGTAACTTAGAATGGACACAAAACGGGTTCCTTTTGTAACCAGAAACTCAAGTAAATTTTGAAAGGTTTCAGTTAAGAACTACCTTGTTAAATAACACCTAAAGAGTGCACTTCTCTGAGATTAGGGAGACTACAATTCATGACAGATGCTCTAGCCACCAGTATGTAGTAGAGCTTCTAACACTCCAGGTCAGGCTACTGAAGAACACCTACCTGGTGGAAATGCGGCTGAACACGGCATTGAAGTTATTGCAGCTAAGAGAAAAAAGAACCCCAGAGGCAGAATTGCGTAGTTCAGCTGCGTGCTGGTTCCCTTCACGGTAAGTGTGGATGAAGTGGCAGATTTCTGGCAGCAACTGTTTTACCAGCATGGTCTCGTCTAGTCGCATGGTATCCTTTGGTTGCTAAAAATAAACATTCAGTATTGCATGAAATTCTGTTTCGTAGGTTTGGAGGCAAAAAATATGGAGCATCTGCCACTCACAGGCACAGGACCCAAATCTAAACTTCTAATTCTGCCTGCAGGCTACCCCTGACCATAGTGTAAAGCCCTCTGCACAGAACAGGCTCTCATTTGAGCCGTAACCCGCATCATTTTCAGTTACATCTCTGAAATGCACAGGACACCGAGTTGATCAACGTTATCAAGTATCAATCAAAACAGCAAGCTAGTTTTTGAAGTAGAACACATCTCTGTTTTGACGAACGCACCCTGTTGATCTGTGAAAAGTACCAGCAGCAGAGCATTAGCTATCTCAGGTTTGAATGGGAGCTCGAAGGGCAAAGCCCCACCCTTACCTCTCTGTTGGGAAGTACTCTGACCACTGTATTTTGAGAGCAAATATTCTATATTAAAAAAAGGAGCCCCAAAAGAAGTGCTTCTCCCTTGCTCTTGCCTGGGATTGCTCTATACGAGTCAAAAATGGCTTAACTTTCCTGCAAAAGAAAAATCTAATTTTTGCCAGTTTGCACAGTATGAGACATAAGGAAACTATTTACAAAAGAATTCAAAGCGAAACTTTGCTCTACTAAGAGCAAGTTTTCACAGAAGGGTCAGCATTAAAGCTTTCTAAAATTCTACCAATGAATTTACCACAGGGAATTGGGAGGTTTCAGAGACTCCCACTTGGTTGACCTGAGTCTTGTTACCATGAGAACACGATGAAACATTGAGCAAGAACTGCGAGCAAGAAATACGTCTGAAGATATCACAGAACACAACGCTCTTTGTATAGCACTTTGGCTCAGTCTTATTAAACATATACTGGCTCAACTAGCTCCCATTTGAATTGACAAAGCAAGAAGTATTCAGCACAATTTCAGGCTGTTCAGATGTCATCTATTAGGGAAAAAACCCACTTAAGTTTCAAACAATATGCACAGAAGAAATATTCCAAAAGAATTAATTTTGGAAGTTAAAACTGTTTTTTTTGACTCACTCCATCAAAGACACAAAAAGTGCCAAAAAGAGGTATTTACCTCAGCTGTAAAAGCTGAAAAATGTATTCACCTGGATCTTTTGTGAATTTAGAAGAATTCACAATTATTCAGCCTGTTTTAGTACTGCATTGTAAGATATTCCACTTGACAAATCTAACCATAATAAGGTCGTTACCTTATAAAGAAAGAACCTTCAAAAACTGCTGCAGGGAAACAGCAAAGAGCTTCGATGGTTCCAAGACACTCATCCAGGGATACAGCTTTACACAGAAAACCTCCTTTCTTAAAGGAATACACCACCTCAAGTTCTGCTCACAGTGAGGTGCAGCACAGTAAGCTGTACAACCGTTCACAGCCCGGCGCTCACAGCAAACTGCCGCGCAGCACAGCCCTGGCTGGAAACCTCAGGACTGGAGTCCCACTGGAAGTTTGGATGTGGTTAACTAATGTAATCTAGGAAACACCTGCAAAAGGAATCTTCTGCAGAGTGACAGCAGGGTTTCTGCGGTATAGATAAACACGAAAAATTACTTCAACAAATGGAAGTTTTAAGAAATTTAAAGAAAAATCAACACAATGCAGAAAACTTAGTAGCATTCTGAAATTCCTGCACTGAACACTGAAGTTCCTGCACTGAACTACCTGCTACTTTCAGCATGATTTACTACTCCATGACTTCTTCGCTTTAAATTGAGGGATGAAAACATTTTGATGCATCTATTCAAAAACTACCAAGCAGAACATGCCACAAACTCTCAAACTTTACAGAAATCTAACGAAGCTTCATAACCACATCTAATTCTTCCTTCGGGTTTGTGTCTTCCCTTACTCCAGCTCACATGTCTCTAAGCACAGTTCTCTGCAATTCTTTTCAACAAATTATTAAAAGAAAACCATTATTCATGACTCCACAGATTATCTGAGCAGTGGGACAGGCAAATTCAGAAGTCTACTTGAATCTGTTTAGCTGAAAAAAGATCGCTAATTTCAGGCAAGAAAAAAGCACCCCACAAATCCTTAATTGATCAATTATATCAACTTATATCAACTACTTGCATGTACAGGAAGTTTTAGTATTTTTTAAGTGGCGTTAATCTGAATCAGATTAGTTTTAACTTTACTACCAGTAATAATAGCTACACAAGCATTTGACTTGTACTCTAACTCATTTGATTGCAACTTAGCAATTGCTTATGCAAGCCTACTCACCCCTGCCAGACATTTTTCCAGTGTATCCAAGATAATCAGCTGAGATAGATATAAATTCTTTTCAGCAGTTTCTCCAAATATTCTCTAGAAGTAGAAAAGATAAGGACTCATCTGAGACACAGAAATTTGGCCTGTAATGCATTCCTTTATGCAAAGTGGCACAATGCTATGGTTCCTTTACCGCTCTGGTTTTGAGTTTAAAAATAAAGCCAGCAAAAATGAGATTAAAATAGGAATTAAAACCTTATCGCTGGCAAAACATCTTTGTCCAGTCTGCAATGCCAAATCTAATAAGGAACAAACAGTTGCTGCAAAGTAAGACTGGAGGTGCACTGCAGCCCCTTACCTTCATCAAGCCAGTGATTTATTCAGAAATGCACTAACTTTTCAGGAACTATTTTGGTATCAATTACTGCTGACTCTTCTCCAGTGATGTATTTCATCGCCAACATCTTAATAGAACTGGTGTTACAACAAATCCATTTGAACACGCTTATACAAGTGTTGCAAAATTTAGCCCAGACCACAGGAAGAAACACGAGACCCTCAAACGAGATGCCACGCTTCAGATACAGGATGAAGGCAGAATTCCACCCGGTGCTTAAGCTAGCACCCAATTTTACTGCCAACATTAGTAAGACAGCAAAATAACGCAGAAAAGATTTAGCCAAAAATATATTGGTACTATTGCCTACACATGAACACAAGTGGAGGTCACCCGAAGGAAGCTGTTTCCAGCCACGGGAGAGATTAGCTCAGCTAAGTCAAAGGCAAACCCTCAAGATTCTTTTCTAAACGAAGACCATTACCACAGTCTAGCGGTGCGTCTTCTTTCAGCGACAGACATCCCTCAGAACTACTGCTGATTCATACAGTGGCTCAGTCCATCGAACAAAAAAAAAATGGTGCCTTGCTCCTCAGTGCAAAGCAAATGTTCACCTTTTTTACTGACACTTTCATGAAGTCTTTCCTCTCAGCATCTATCATACACAGAAACTTGCTTTACCTGCATAGTTCTCATTTATCAGATAATCATCTTAAACATCAACACGCTCCTTCATGCCTATGGAGCTTAATTAAAAGAAATTCTCTCCTGAACAGGATTACAGATAGCTTTAAGCAGCCTAAAATCCCTAGCAGTAGGGCAACCTATCGGCTGATTTTATCAATCCTTTGCAGAGTTTTAGTAGATGCACATCTCTATATAACTGACATCCACCACAACTCACTGCAAACTATCTTCCTAAAACCATTTTAAAAAGTACTGCCAGAGTTTGGCCGGTTCCACTACCCGTTTGTGGAGATTCCACACAATCACCGGTCACACGGCTGCAAAACTCAATGCCCTTTCCTCATGACAAATCCAAAAACAGTCCCTCCATTAAAAAAATATTCAAACTGCAACTTTCTCCTCACAAAGTATTCCTAATCTCTCCACTGGCCCAACTTGATAATAGTTATTTTTCCAGAGTTGACACTATGGCCATCCACAGTCCTTTTTCCTCCAGGCTCCTCTGCTCTTTGGTTCCACTGGGATCTACTTTAAATGAGTTTCAGTGATGATGTTGAGTCAAATATTTTGATGGATTTCAGGAATCATTTAATGGTTCCCTTGGAGGCAGAAGAGGAAAGCAGTGTGCAGAAGTAAACCACCCTCCAAGTCACCTGGCTGTAAAGCTTTCTCTGTGGGACCTCGCAGAAACACGGCCTTGAACCGCATCCCTTCACACCAGCCGACTGCCCTCAACTATCACCCTTAGGTGTTCAATGGGAGGCTGATGCGGACCAAACAAGAGATGGAAGAGATGTGTAACACTCCCACACACTTCTCACTCGTTTTTCTTACGGACAGTCAGGTACCCCTCGGGAGGCAGGAGGCTGCAGTGGCAGGATTAGGCAAGAGACTCTTTTCAACTATTTTTCCTACAAGGTTCTGAACGAAATCCACCTGGTTGTTACAATCTATTGTATTTTCTATACACACACAAACGTTGAAACATCCAAACAGCCTGGAAAATTCAAATAGCCTAGTTGTAAATCCTTGTTCCTTCTTCTTTTCCCAAAACAACTCCTGGCAGGTCATGCTCTGGCAGGACAGATGGGGGGAAAAACCACCTCCTAGTGCTGCTGGCTCAGCAGCTCCTTTGCCCTGCTGCATTCCTCCCTAAAGACTTTGCTAGCACTGCTTCCTGGAGAACTGAAGCACCTTCCCATCCTCCCCCACCTCCCAGCAAGCAGCTCATTCTACTGGTAAATGTTGCTGAGAGCCAGTATTGGGTACCTTCATGTACCTAACGGAAGATTCCCCTCCATCATCCATCACCTCCCTTTGGATTTCTCTGCCACAACTCTGACTGCCTTTACCTGTAACACAGCTCAGTGCTGTTGGTGAACTGTAGCACACCAGGATGAAAATTTCAGTATAAAATTATGCGACCGGAATTTAGTCAAACACTTTGACTACTTTTCAAGTGACTCTCTGCAGACTGTATATTACGAATTAATAACAACCATTCTGAAAAATCACCCAACAATTCAAATTTATAAAACTTACCATGTTATTAACATTTTTTAAGATATTAGTGAGACCACTGATGACCAGGGAAAACTTGTACTTGGAAATGTTTATGAGACATTCCTTGTTGTGCTCCGTACTGACTTTGGTGTGGGTATTCTGCTGGCCAACCTTTATGGGAAGCTACAAAAAGAGATAAGTATTGTAAGCCTTTTTTACATTGAAATTTTACATCTTTTAAAGAAGGGTTAAAAATTTTTGAGACACCAGAAACTACCTTGAAAATCATTCTACAAGAGACAACTACAAACACACTGATTATTTCATTTGCTCTACATTCATCTTTCTATTAGTTATCTATAAAACAAAATACTGAAGTTCATCTATTCCTTTTTCTCAGTCGAAACTAAACCTCTATTTTGTGAAATTTTCTACAATTCAAATGTCAAAGGAATCAAAAGGAGCAGAAGAACATGAGTAAGGCAGAATTCTGAGAAGAGTTTCTTTATTTCAAAAATCAGCTCATTAAATACCAAAAATCTTCAAAAGGCTAATACCTGCCAGGAAAAAAAATGCATCTTGAGACCTGCAAGGAGGTCAAATCACAGCAGCTCACAAAGCAGGCAAGTTGGAAAGAGGTAACAGTGATTCCACCTCTGCCCTCCACTCTCGTCGTGGGACAGAACTGGCCCAGAGGCACAGCCGAGCCCCGGGAGGAACCACCACCCACAGCCCCCGCAGGTCCCACGAACTGGGGCTGCTTGGGGGTCCCTGTACAAACACAGCCCACCGTGACCCTGGCGATGAAGTCGCTCAGCCTCAAACGTGCTTCAAGTACTCGAGCCCCACACTACCTGCCCTTGCCCAACATCCAGGGGTGCAAACTAGCCTTGAAACACATCTTTCCCAGGAAAGGTAAGATTCGGAGTGGCTGCACAAAACTGAGAGCTTTCTCCTGCTGCGGGAACACTGGACTCTGTTTCATGCTGTACCCAAATTCTTGTAGGGTCACCAATGGGTCACTTCCCCCGCATGCTCCTCACGGGACTCAGCCCGTACCAACCGCCAAGTGAAAACGTGAGAAGGGTTCTTGGGAGAAGCTCACTTTCCGGAGGATCTGTATTTATCAAAATCAACCCTTTCTTGTGGGAACAAGAAGGGAATCAGTGCTATCACCTCTTTCTATAATTCACATATGGCATCTGTATTTTAAAAGGTGACCTAGGAATTCACTATCCATAGGAACTTTAATTGCTACTACAAGTTTTAACCAATTTCGACTAGAATTCTCGATAGGTGTGTATTCTGAAAGACACTGATAGATCAAAGTAAATGCTACAATGTAATATTTTGCATTAGAAAGGCGAACTTTAAAAGACTTTTTAAAAAAAGAGACAGCATTTAAGAGAGGTTAAAAGAACTCCTCCAAGGAATTATGATCAGCTTTACAGCTGCAAAATGCTTGAAGAGCACCTGTCCAGGCTGGGGGCCTCTGCAGACCTGCAGTCACGAGTATCTCTGCCAACCCTTTAACATCACTGTCTTTGTTGACAGAAGTTTAAAGGTCCATATTTAGATGCTAGATGAAAGAAATCAAAAGGCAGAAGGTAGGGGTTGTTTTTTCCTCTCAACAGTGTTCATAGAATCACAGAACGGTTTGGCTAGATGAACTATATTAAAGAAATCACAAGGCAGAAGGTAGGGGTTGTTTTTTCCTCTCACCAGTGTTCATAGAATCACAGAACGGTTTGGGTTGGAAGGGACCTTAAAGCCCATCCAGTCCCACCCCCTGCCATGGGCAGGGACACCTTCCACCAGACCAGGTTGCTCCAAGCCTCATGCAGCCTGGCCTTGGACACTCCCAGGGATGGGGCATCCACAGCTTCTCTGGGTTGCAATGGTGGATTGAACCATTAAACGCAGAGTACCTAACACTGACTCCTCCCATTTGCAGGGCAGTGGCCCCCTCTAATACACCATCCCATTTTCATGCCCAAGTGTGATTTCCTCTCCGTACAAGCTGTGGTTCGGTTCAGGTCTGAAGCATCAGTTCTGGCACCGCAGACCAGGAGCACAGCGGAAATCGGCTGTTTTTCCTAAGAGAATGGTTGGCTCGAGTAAAAATCTGACTGAACTGCTGTGCTCGATCACACCAGAGACCCACAGCAACGGAAGCGCGTAGGAGAAACGCTTGTTGCACCCAGGGAGCCCTGCTAAGAGACACCACCACATCTGCCCCTTCACAAGAAGGTCCAACGCAAGTTCCGTAGGGCAATCAAGGTCATTTCCACTTCATTTTGTGATTCTCTTGCAAGCCTTCCGATTGTAACGACGCAAAACAGTGTGATGTCTTTCAATGTGCTCATTTTAAAACTGGAGAAAGCAGAACAAACAGCATTTATGACTCAAGCTTTGTTTTCATCTTGGATGCTATTTTTACAACACATTTCGGAAGTCATTAGTGGAAGACAGATACATTTAGTTAACAAATTCACCATTGCTTGTACTTTTTAATTGAATTTTCAAGCCTCCATGCTGACAACAGCAGAAAAGCTCCACACCATGGTGCGACAAAACCCCAGAAGTACCTGTGTCACAGATCTAGTTCCGTATGCTTCCATGTGAAGGAAATGTCCTATTACACACTTCTGGAGCTTCCTGCCACAACAGCCACAGCAACAAGGTCACCCCGAAGTAAAACTGCTTGTTATACTACCATTCAAAATATGAAACTATACAGAAAGGAAGTATTAGCACTGCTGGTTTGGGTTACGTTCTATTTCTCAGTGATTTCCTTTGTGCGCTCTGACGTGCTGGAGCATTACATGCTCCCTAACAGAATCGCAGAATCATGGAATGGTTTGGGTTGGAAGGGACCTTAAAGACCATCCAGTCCCATCCCCTGCCATGGGCAGGGACACCTTCCACTAGACCAGGTTGCTCCAAGCCTCATCCAGCCTGGCCTTGAATGGGGCATCCACAGCTTCTCTGGGCAACCTGTCCCAGTGCCTCCCCACCCTCTCCAGGCAGAATTCCTTCCCGTTATCTAATCTAACCCTCCCCACTTTCAATTTGTACCCGTTACCTCTTGTCTTGTCACTACAGGCCCTTGTAAAAAGTCCCCCCCAGCTTCCTTGTAGCCCCTTCAGGCACTGGAAAGCTGCAATAAGGTCTCCCTGGAGCCTTCTCTTCTCCAGGCTGAACAAGCCCAACTCTCTCAGCCTGTCCCCATGGCAGAGGGGCTCCAGCCCTCTGAGCATCTTCGTGGCCTCCTCTGGACTTGCTCCAACTGGTCTACATCCTTCTGATGTTGTGGGTTCCACAGCATTCCTAGCAAGATCTTTACAGTCAAATGATAAAAACTCGCTTTGAAACTGGGAAGTGCGTGCTGCCACAGAATTGCAAAGCTGTTCGAAAAGCAGAAGGCACTGTGGTGTCTGACAGCATGGCAAGCCTGTCACACCCTCGGAAGTGGCCTCAGTTTAAAGGCTGATGTACTTTTATCCAACAATTGTTCTGTTACGGAATCCTTTCCTCGTGGATGCTAACTGTGAAGAGAAATGGTGCTGTGTCTGCAGAAGAGCCACCCCCACCTGTGTCAGGCACTGTCTAGCGTGATGCCATAGGGCACAGCGTTCCGCGCAGGGACGCTGATTTGTAACCACCACCTGGAGCGGCGGCGGTCTGTGAGGCACCACACGCAGCCTGTTGGGAAAGGCTAACATTAAGCCACAGCTTTTTCTTTATCACCTGTAATTAATGAACACAAAGTTTAATCATCTCTATTTACTACCAGACTGTATTTAATATTCTTATTTTCAGAGGTTATGGAGCAAGTGCTTTAGCACGTCAAGCAAAGTCACCATTTCAACTTTTTTGGGCAAGACACAACTTTGCAGAACATTAAGAATTCAAAACCTGTCAGAGAAACCCAGTCTGCCACAGGATGCAGAAGGAGGGCTCCTGAAACCGCTGTCCCGAGAAGCCCCTAATACGGCCAGTGGCCACTACCCGCCCACAGGCAGGGACCCCGCAGGGTTCGGCGGGGTGGCAGACTGCAGAGCACGCCGCTGCCTCCACCTCAAGGCAAGCACCAAGGTCCCAATCACACCTTGGGAGAGGGGAAGGTGGGAGACCATTTCAGGGGATCCACCTCAGGGAAGGAAATTCTCCACTTGCCTAAAGCGGGCTCATCATTTTGATTAAGCAGCCTGAAACGTCTGAATGCACTTCTGCCTTTGATTCAGAATCAGGAGAAAGGAACAAACACCTAGAAAAAAAACCCTAGTGCTATCCTTAACAGCACAGAGACCTACCTGGCCTTTCTCTGTCAAACAATTGCTTGGAACTTCTTCAGCAGACAGCAACACAGAGCTGTACTGGCGAGATAGGAAATACACCCAGCACCACTCTTCCCTCAGCACCAGCACTGTCGGACCAGCTACAAATCTTTCTAAAAACCAACAGGCATCTTCCTCCCAGCTATGCACATGCACTGCATCACACGCTTGAGGCATTATTCAGCGCAAGAACCTCACCACTAAGCCTTTGGGAGAACGTGGAACTCCAAAAGCATTTCACATAGGCTGCTGTAGAAAACCAGTATTTTCAAAAGGTTAGTGGAAGTCGGCACTGTGACCAAACATACATTTCCCCACACTGTCAACACAACCTGCTGTGTGTAGCAAGGATCACCACATCAGCGCGGTGCTTTTCAGCAGCTCACTAACGGACCCAGGTAACATCTGCTCACGTGGGCCATCCCCCCTCTCCGCGCTGGGACACTGTCCGTGTGCAGTCCAGCACTTCCTCTGGAAACACATCACACGCTCGCTTGGAAAAACGAGATCAAAGCTGCTTCAGGTTTATGCTCGAGAAAGATAAAATAGCGCACACTGTGCCTAAAAGCAGCGTTCTAGTCTGTCCCAGTTGTCAGCGAATCCGTTTCAGACCGAGAGGCTGTGGGATGAAGTTCCGTGTTCTGCGCAGGGCAGCCTCCCCTCGCAGCTAAGGGTTCGTCTCGCCTGGGGAGCGTGGTCAGTAGCACTCACATGCAACCCCCCGAAACACATCCCAACTCTACCAGCGATTTCTTAACCAGCCAAGGTGAAAACAGCAGCGCAAAACACAAAGCTGGTACCTGCAGCCAGTGCTTTTCCAGCTCCCTGATCCCGTACAGATTGCAAATGCTGCAGAGAGTCAACAGGAGGAGGGAATATTTGCTTTAATTTAATGCCTTTCAATGAAAGTAAGAATGTAACGTCACTACTGGCTTGAAGTTTTTACAAAGCTTTCTTAACTGAAAGCAGTCATCTCTCAAACTACAAATGGGGAGCCTAAACCATAATCCACCTAACAGAGGTCTTTCTGTAAAGCGTATCATAATCACTTAAGTCACTACAAGTTTATACAGGATTAGTATCTTTCATCATATCTGATAATTTTAAAACAGTCTCGATTTAAACAGTTGAGGCAGGAAGGCTTCTCTGACTACGCTCAGAACGATTTCACTACTGTATCAGCCTTCCCATGATTTCAGCGTGTAACACATTTAAAAACACAGTACACCAAATCGTAAGTGATCATTTCCATAGGAAAAGAAAGAAAAAGAGATTAAATTTTATTTTACAAAGACCTGATTATGTCTGAAACCGCAGAGAATTTCACTAAAACACAGCCTAGCCTCTTTGTGCCGCTGCAGCCTAATTCCATCCTGATGAGTACAAGTTTTGAAAAATATAATAACCAGTCCTACATACAAAATCAGTCAAGAGATTTCATCCGTGCTACACAAGAAATGGGATCAAGCCTCACATGCCCCATCAATAGCTTCTTTCTGCCCCAGCTCAAGCCTCAAGGGTGGCTCAGAGGAGAGTGCAGTGCCGCAGTTGTAGCGCGGGAGTGAGCGCAGCGGGGCAGGACTGGCACCGTACTTGAAAAATGGGTTCAGAGAGCCAGCCATGGTGAGTTCACAGAACTCTGCTTGCCAGTTCTTTCAGGCCCACGGAATTGTACACACAACAGCAGATTTTGGTTAAAGCAGCATTTACAACAGTAAACAAGAGTAGACAAGAACAGACCGGTTTGCACTGATTTTTCTTGTTTTCAATACAAATCAGCATTCTGTTTACTGTTTCATCTGTCTTAAAATTAATTCAGGCACTCAGCAAATGAATGAAAAGACTGTCTACATCTATAAACTTTGGTGAAAGGTGGTTACACTTCCCTCCTTTGTAAAGGCAGGAAGAAACCTTGAAAAATTTTGTCTTCTCCCCTACAGAAAAAACCCAACCCTAAACTGAACAACCCACAGACACGAGCGAGCTCCCCTTCCTTATCCCAACACGCCGATGATGCAGGAAGTAGTGGCTCCCTCAGCACTGAATCGAGGTCCTGCATTTGGAAGAGCAGACAGAGTATGCAACAACTTAAAAATGCATTATCACCACTAGAATAACGTGCACATCTTCAGTCAATTTCTGAGAAGTATGAACTTATGTTCAACTGAGCAGTCTAAACAAGTAGTAACGACCAGCCAACAATGACACAAAGGTGGGGAGTTACAAGAGGCACATAAATATCCCCACTGATGGACAACGCAGTCGTGTAACCTGGCATTTGGGTATGCAGTTAAGAACAGTCACACCTTTCCACCCTGAACATCCCTGTCCGACCAGGCAAAGCACAGGAAACGATGTATTCGAAGCAAACAAACAAAACTGAGAACCCCAAGGTGACATGAATAGGTGACAGAGAAAACTTCTCACAGAAAAAGCAGATTGTCTCCTCCTTGCTTCACTGCTTCATGCACTTCCCAATACAATGTTTGAAAAGAAAAATTGCCCTGGTTAACCAAAAATATGCAATAAACTCATCAAAATTTTCTCAGTAGCACCTATCGCACGAGCTATACTCTGACTACAACAGCCAACACCGGATTTGATGTATATTATCCCTAAACTCCAATGTCTTCGCACCTCAAAAATGAGAACAGCTTGCTTCCTACCAGGAGAGGATTCCTCCCAGACACCTATCTGTCATTATCCCACAAGACACATAGAAAAATAATTCTGTTTAAGACGCTGAAGTTCTTAACTCCTAACAGATGTTGGCAAGCCCAGTCCCCCAATATACATTACAAAGTGAACGACAAGCCCAGGGCCTTTTAACACCAGTACACAAAGAAACGTTTTCCTGCATTATTGGGAGCATAATCAGTACCATGTTTTTTAAGCTTATGGAAAAAATGATCTATGACTCAAGATAACGGGGGGGGGATAAGTTAACTATGCAAATATGCCTGAAATGTATTGGAAAAGTCTGCAAATTTTCATGTCAAAAGACAAAGTTTGATACTTTCCTTTTCAAAATAAACTTCATTTACAGCCACTTTAACATGAAGGTAAAAAGGAACAGCTCATTTTCATTCAACCCAGCACGATGTTCCGGTGGGCTGTTAAAAGCCAAGCGTCACAGAGGGACACGTAAAGCAGGTGAACAAAATTCAACCAACAGAACCAGCATAACGTTTTTGATTGATGTCACACCGAAGAGGGTCTCAGAGAGCTGTGCCCTGTGTGACACAAAAGCTGTACTCACAGCATAGCAAAACGAGGCAGACAACACAGAAACTGATCATTCGGCCTGAACTGAGCTCACACGTCAGGAAAGCATCTTGGGAGCAGAAATGCAGAGTCTAAGCAGCAAGCTTAGCCCCACTGAGAAAGCCATGCCACCTAATCCCAGTAAGCAGTTTCTGCATATGGATCAGAGAAACACAAAGGCTAAGGCCAACAAATCCCTCTTCCTACCATTCAGAAAATCCTGACTTCTGCAAAGAGAAGTAAGTATCACTATAACAACATCAGCTGCAAAACCCTGCTCATCCCATCCAACCGTGCTCCCAGGGACGCGGATGAAATGTCACCCCGACATCCCCCCTCGAGCCGTGGGGAACAAGGCGGCATTGCCCGAGCAGTTTCTCGCAGCCCTCCTGAAGCTCCTTCCTAGGGCTTTACCTCCTCTCTGGTGAGCAAGATGATGTAAAGCGGAGAAACGGATTTCTCAGGAATGTCTGTGAGAAGACATGCTTGGAAGAGGCGGGGGGCAGAGGAGGAAGCAGGCACCTCACCCCCCACCCGTACAGGAGTGATTGATAGGCCGCCCCATCTCCAGCAGCCCGGCACAGGGGAGGCCC